TCTTCAATATAGCATACCAAGCATCAACAGTCATTAAACACATGCACACACTTTGTTATTCAGCACTGTTAGCTTAGATTTTTTTTCTCATATGTTGGTAAATTGCGCACTTTTTGCTTTATAAATGGTTAAATTATGTTGTTCTTGTCTTCCGGTTAAAGTTATAATGCCTTTAGTTTATCTGCATACACTAGTTGTAGAACATCATCAGTAGTTTAATAGTTGTTTAAATGTGGCTCAGCCTAATTTTTCGTACCATAGCAGACGTATTTGTTTATATTTGAAACATAGCAGAAGAGTAAATTAAGTCTTTCTGCACCTTGAGTGTCTTTTTGCCGAGTGGAACCAAAAGGAAAGTTTTCGTTCGTGCATCGAAAAATCTGCCTTTTCTTGGCAGTTGGCCGAATTGCTTGTTTCTGCGCAGAAACTGCAATTTTAATTAAAATTGTTTTGGCAGTATTTGGTGTTTTATGTTTTTCTATATCTTTCAATTTTTAATGAAGATATTTTGAGCTTTTATGTAGTTTTCCCTAGCCGCGAAGTGAGAACTGAATTAATTGAATGAGTAATGTATCTCTAATTAAATTCGAGGAAATATGTTTAAATGAAGTGCACTAAAAAATGCGTATAATTTAATATTGTTGCGATTTTTTCTTCCTTCACGTTCGTAGATTTGGAGTGAATAACGACGACAACATGGGATATCGAAACACACACAAAAAAAAAGAATCGAAACAAATATTTATTTAGCCAATATTAATCAGGACATCTCCATTAACACGTTTACACAGTCGTTGAAGAACTACAATAAACACCCTGGAACAATCAGCGACACAACCTTCCGGTTATCAGGCAATAACGGTGGAGACAGCTTCACTGCAAAGCACCAGAGTACAGCTTCCGACTCTGCTCGGTCGTTCTCGGAACTCCGCGTTACCTCGAGACTCTCCACGCTGCACTCGAAGACACACAGAGCACAGCTCCCAACTACTCGGTTCAGTCGTTTCCGGAGCTCAACACACTCTCTCGACGGGGCACTAACAGCGATACACTAAGAGACTCCTTCGGTGCACTCGACGACCCAATCGGCACTCGCTGCCCGGCTGTCAACTCGGGATCGGCTCCGCACGGACTGACTAACTCGAGACCCTAACTATCTCGCACTCTCGAGGCACACTAACTGACTACGGACCAGCAGGGTTTATATATCTTTCGGCTTGTGTTCGAGAACATTCTGGGCCAAACCGGTAAGAATTCGTTCCCGTCCATGGCATATCGCTAATTTTGTCATCCATGGCAAATGTCGCCAAATGGGCGGTTTCTAGCTAAATAAAGCAGACCTTGCCCTCCTTCCTATTTTATGGCAACCCTAAAACTGCTTTGCGGGGAAGCCATCCCACCGCGCCTGTACATTTCGTAACAATACTCCTTGCAAGGAAGTCATGTGGTGTACATGTCAGTTTCTTTTTGTTTTATAATGATTTCCTTTGGTTTTGTATTATAAAATTTTGCACGAAGTATTCTTGCATACGTTTTAAGGTTTAATCGGTCTGTGTTCAACGAACCGAATGGTTTATTTTACATTATTTCCTAAGACAAAATATTTCGATTTAGGAATATTTCTAATGATGGCCCCCTTCACGAACGCATTTAATCCGTGGACCCCGAGGCTTAACTATATTTCACAATAGGCAGAAACAGGATTACACGCTTAGCCACTTGCCAAGTTATGACACGCCTTACCAAGCTTTAGATTTGTGCCTGGTATGTAAGTATGTCAGTCCACACTCTTTTTATGTTTGCAAAAGTTTATGTGCTGTAGCCATTGGTGGTGTTTGCAGGAGTTATCGATTGCCAATCACCGGGCACATACGTTCGATTGGCAACACATCGGAAGAATAGGTATTGCCAAGACAATGATGCGAGCTATTAAGAAATGAAGCATTATTGGACAGTGCATTCTACACACGATTGCATAAATTCTTTTTTAAATTTGGCAGCAGTCAAGGCTACGACATTTGTGATTTAAATTTTACTAGCAGTTTTATTGATAATTTCTGTTGCATTATATTTTCAGGTTTATTATTATTTGAAATTAACCAGTTATTATAATTTTGATCTTTGCTATAACTTCTCCTTTCCGTTTCGTCACCAGAATGTAAATCAGTTAGATAGTGTTTCAGTTGAGGTTTTTTGATTATGAGATACAGCAGGTTTCTGCCTCTCTAGTCCACATTACTTTAGTTTGACTATCTCTGAAAAGTTTTAATTATTCAGCTTTAGCTTATTTGCTGCTGACACAAATTGTTTGGTTGGTTAGAGGTTTGAGCCAGCTTTGATTTAGTCAAATTCTATGTATTAATTTCGATCCTATGTTCTTTGATTGTGTCGTTCACACCACATGTTTGTACGAAGTGTGTGGTGCAGTGTAAATGTACTGCATCGGCTATACAGTGAGCATTTTCGAACTCTTTCGTTGAGCTTGGCGTTTTGCTCCTGTGAGCAGCGTGAAAAGGCTCATAGGTGTCTTAAAGGTTGGCCGAGTTCAGCAAGGTCAAGAATTTAGTTTCCGTTTCGACCACAAACGTGTTTTAGATTTGCATAAATATAATCTTGTAATAGCAATGCAAATGCATCAAGAATTTCCGCTTTTCCACTGTATGCTCTTGATTTGCAAAAAATAGCTTATCCGTTTAGCAATCGAAAGGAATCACGGCAAGTTAACGTTTCACGATTTCTGCTCCAAAAATTTTTTATTAGCTCTACAGTCTACAATCTTATTTTAAGGGAAGGCAGTCTGTTGTTGTAAAATTTGACGAGATGATCTCAACTTTAGTTGCTGCGATTATAGTTTAGCAAAATCCATAAGTTGTGGTTAATAAAGTATATGTTAACTTTTACCTTCGAGTTTTACCTTGTGTTTCAAACATTTAAGGGTACCAGAGGTAAACAACTCGCTAACCAATTAGTTAACCTCAGCAGACTGGTTACGTTACTTAAACAACTTAGGAATTATAAAACCCTGAAAGTATGGAGGACAAGAGGTCAAGGGGACTCACCAAGCAGGCTTCAGAGATATCGCGATGGTTGTTTAATGTGCCAGAAAGGCGTTTAAGTGAGTATGGTTTCATCTAGTTGATTATGGCGAAACACACTAGGGCTATTTGCCTAAGGTTAAGGATGCCTTCGTGGCGGACTTTCTGAGGGAAACCGGGTCGTATATACATCGCACATGGGGAAACCAGGTCGGAAGTACAAGTGTTAAGCGGCCACTGGTTGGCCTTAGGTTAGGTGTGGAAACTATGGTTTGCTATGGAACTCGATTTTTAATCCAATGACACAGTATATATCCAATGGCATAGATCGTTGTAGTATAAATAATACAAGACGTGATATTATATTATAGGTAGAATCCAGATTAGTCTGAAAAGACAATCTATTGTCCTCAATTTGTCACATTTAAAATTCAACAAACTTTTGTGGCTGCCTACACCTATGCTGCAGAGCCAACAGTAGAGCGTCTTTCAAAGCTTCATCCAATGGTATATGTTGATACAGGCTTCTGCTCGACAGATCCTAATTCTTGTGCTAATGTTGCTGATGTTGCTGTGTGATCAGTACTCTCTTCCGTGGCGAGAGAAGGATTGTGCTATAGCTCCAATTTGTCGATTTTCCCTTTCTGAATCTACCAGTTATTTACTGCTAGTAGTTTTGGCTTATTTTTGTCAAACACAATAGGCCATTTCTTGCAATGATAAGGGCCCAGCAGCGGCCGAGTGGTAAAGTCGCTGTGGTAAAGTTTTGTGGTTTTCCCCAAGTGTAACGTGTATGCCAGCCACTTTCCCTTAGAAAGTCCTTCACGAAGGCATCTTTTCTCTTAGGCAGATAGCGCTAGTGTGCTTTGCCGTAATCTCAATAAATCAAACCAAGCTTTTGGAAGGATAATCCTCAGTCTTAACAAGTAACAAATCTTCCTCAGTAAAATTCAGAGCTTTCTCAAATGATTGCTCCTAGATGGCGCTCCCCTCGCGTCAGATGTTTAATTCGTAATGTAATTTTTAATTCTGCCGTGTGTTTGTGGCAACAGATTAAATAAAACCAAACTACTAGTATTCGATGCTAAGAAATGATGAACTCATGTAAACAATTCTAACAGCTGATAAAAATCTTATTCCATTGTTTGAGTCTCTTTGTCAAATTCAAGTATTTCCAGGTAACTAGAATTCAATGAAAATTCTAGGTAAGTTATTTAATAATTATTAATTATTGAACTTACCAACAAACACTAGTGTTCCACCCAGAGAAGCAGTAGAAAATGCACAATTCCAGTACTTAAAACAGCATTCTCTCCTTTATGTGTTATGGTTCTTCTACGTGGCGCTACTGGCTCACCTGATTTGCATATGTGCTGAAATACTAATCATTACATTGTGCCTAGGAAGGGTATGGTGCAAACTTTATTATTATTGTATTGCCAGCAATGTAGTTTACGATCCGTCTCGAGGAAAAAAAAAGATTTTTTTTTCGTCATGAACTTGCGAAAAGATGTATAGCTGTCAAAATTCATTTCTCTGAAAACTGAGCATATAAGGAATCTGATTCTCAACCACAAAATTGCACTACGTGTGCTGTTTTTTTGTTTAGTACATTTTGCTCTAATGTTCTTAACTTTCTGGTTATTATGAAAAAACAAATTTACCTTAAAATATTGTCTAATTTTTGTACTTTGTTTTCTGTAAAATTTTTCAGTCTTGTTGCTTATGCAGTACCAGCACTGCTTTATCGAAATAAAGAATTAGCATATACATTTTATTATTTTATAAGAATGCAATAAGTGTCTTTGTTTTTGTAAAACATGAGAAGTTTTAAATTCGGAAAAGGACAAATAATTATTCCGTTATTTAGTTAAAAATTTATTTCTATTTAAAAAGGCTGAGTATCAAAGAAATAAATGCCTCAGTGGCAATGACATGTAAATATTCACAAACCAAACATAAGGGTATGATTTTAAAGAAATGTCTTTATTTAAATTTGCAACGTACGCAAAATTTCCAAACTAATATTATAATTTAATTACAAATGCTATCGAAATCGTTCACCTGGAAAACAATTCTTCAGTTTCAGAATGTTATGCCTTCCAAAGTTCGTATCAGGGAATTTTTTAAAGGCCGATAGGTATCCAGTTTCCATAATGCAATTAAGAGTTCTTTTACGGTTTCAGTAGGGCAATCTGTCACGTAGTATGATCGACGAGCAATTTCTACAGTAGCTTGCCCGGCGTAAGTAAGGCAGTTTATAGCTGCATACTCAGCCACACAAGAGACAATGACAACATTTTCCCTGAGAATTTAAACAAAATTGTTAGAATACGGTAGAACGGCATTTTCATATAATTTTACATAAAGCCAAACCTGCCATTTAACAAACATCAGTAAAAAAAAATAAATAAAAAGCCGAAACTCTTTCACATTTGTAAGTGCTATTTGCTCTAAAGTTGATTAATCTGAGTTAATCGCCTTGCCGAATATGGATATTTTCTTTGTTTCTGGTTTAGCGATTACGACGAGTTCAATGTTTAGGGACGAGAAGATCTCAATTTTCGTTGAAATTATCTTAGAATTTCAACAACCACAAGTTATAGTTAATTAGTTACAGGTTAACATTTACCTTCGAGTTTTATCATGCGTTTAATAGTTAAATACTATCTAGAGTAACTCGCGAAGCAGTATAGTTAACCTTTGCAGATAAGTGGGTTTAAGCTATTTTTCGTCTTAGAAATTACAAAGCTCTGAAAGTAAGGAAGACCTAGAAAGCCTTCGAAGGTAAAGTAAGGAAGCCTTCGAAGGTTAAAAGATATCACGATAGCTGTTGAATGTGCCAGAAATAAGTGCTGATAGTTGGGACAATTTTGGTTTGGGAAAAATCCAATGGCATCGCAAGCCAATACGTTTTCTGGTTTAGGGATTATAAATCGCGGAAAATCCGATTGTAAATCTAGCTCTGTACTCTGGAATAGAACATTAAGGTTACATATTGACAACGTTCTCTAAAATACTGTCCTATATTTACTTCTAAATATATGTTTCCTCAGCGAAACGTGTTGTCGCTTAAAAGCGCTGTCGGCTAAATAACCGTGCTGGGTATGTACACTGCTGGCCATTAAAAGTGCAACACCACGAAGGAATGATCTGTCGAACGTCAAAACCGCATGGGAGGAAAAAGAGGTTGGGATATGCAAATAATTAGTATTTCAGCGTATTTAGACAACATAGGAGAGAGAAACGACATATGAAGCACTAAGAAGCATAAAAGAAAAGTTGTAAAGGGGATTTCTCATTCGGAAAGTGATCGGTTTGTAAGGTCGCAATTTGCTCAGACTATCGTATTATGCCTCGAATAATAAGAAGAAATGCTTACCAGCAAGTGTCAGAATTCGATAGACAGGGGATCGTTGCCTATCGAAAGTGTGGATTATTGTTCCGTGATGTCGCACTGCTCGATTTCAAACCACTCAGGCGAATATGAAATCAGTGGCTTGCTGAGGGTCATACTGAACAGCATGCAGGATCTCAATACCCTTCTGTGGCTACGGCCGAGAGGACAGACATATAGTAGGGTCAGCCTTGCAAAATTGTATAACCATATCATGGACCATTAGTCAGGAAATGGGATATGTTTGCATCATGCCCGGTATCCGCTTGTACGGTGCGTCAACGTTTGTAGCAGCGTGAACCACTCCTTCGGCTTTCCTCAACAATAAAGCATAGAAAGAGATGGCGACTCTGGTGCGCCGAACAACAAGGCTGGATAGAGGAATGGCACGATTTCGTCTTTTCAGACGAGTCCCGGTTCCGCGTGCAGTATTTTGATGGCCGTATATGTGTCTAGAGGCTCCGAGGAGAACGCAAGTCGCTTGCTTGCATTCGATATCGGTATTGGGGCCCTGTATCTGGTGTGGTGGTTCAACAGCCATTGGGTATACGACACGCACATCTCTAGTCCGGTTCGACGGTAATTTGAACGCAGATCGGTACATTTCTGACATCTTACGTCCAGTTGTTGTGCTCCATCTTCGAGTCTTGCCAAACGCCTTCTTCTAACAAGATAAGGCAAGACACGTGTTCTGACCTTACTTGATACACAGGATATCCGATTTCTGACCTTGCCTGCACGGTCTCCAGATCTGTCACTCATTGAAAACATCCGGGCATGGGTTGTTGAGGGACTGGCCCACCTCCTCTCTCCAGTTAATGCAGTTGATGAAGTGGGGCATAAACTTGAAGCAGCATGGAATGAGTTGCCCGTTTCTGTCATCCACGCCTAACCGGGTAAGGGCCGCTTTAGCTTCCAGGTGTGGCAGCTGTTTCTATTAATTTCTCACCCATGTACACCCCCAAACGTCTTACAAAATTAATCATTTTGTTTTCATGCCACTATGTTCAAGTACAATAAATATAATTTTTGTATTTACTTTCCTTCATGGTGTTGAAACTTTTATGGCCAGCAGTGTACTATCTATTCGGCTTGATGGATTAGTCAGTTAAATGTTCTTTTTTTGGCTAATTGGATTTGCGAGCTGAATGTTCTGTCGACTAAATGGCCGTGGTGGCTAAATGTCCTACATCAGTGTGGTAGGCATCAAGTATACGAGTATGGTATACCCATCACATCGATGTGACGTGCATGCATGCATTTTTCATCTACCGTTGATATGTGCAAGTGAAGAGCTATAATAGGTTGCTTTATGTAAGAGCAACTTGGCATTAAATTAGAATGAACTTACTTTACTTTTTAACCTGAAGATCGTTTTAGCTGGTACTGAAGAAACTGATTAGAAATTTGTAAACGTTGACACTAGGTCTAGAATTCTTAGTGTTAACCTGTGTGTTATATTAAGTATTCTTAGTGTATTCTATGAAGCCCGCCTTGATCGGGATAGCGGTTAGCGACTCTGGCTGCTATAGCTTAGGGTCTGGACACGAATTCCGAATGAGGCACTGATATTTGTAAGTGTATGATATCTATGCAGCATCGAGGCACTTAAACTACTAGCCAACCGAAAGTGGTTTTCCAAAAGAGGAAAAACCTGTTATATTTTCGAATCCTTCGGGTGCTTTGTATCAAAATTGGGAAGGAAATGCACGGTTAGTGCGCTGGGACTATTCGTGTGAGACCATCTGGCAATGCCCCGCTCAGCTTCTCCAGCTTTCTACATATTAAGCAACTCTAAATTCGACAAAATAATTCCATGTATTTGTTACAGCTAGAAATATTTAAATTCAAATTACAGTTTGGCTTCTGAAATTAATATATTTGTTGCAAGTGATTTTCAATTAATTTAAAAGCGGATATTTTGTCTTCAAAATGTGAATCTTTTTATTAGCTAATGTTAAATCCTGACTAAAGCATATTGTGATCTAGAAAAGGACAATGGTGCTATATAAGTAATTTCCGATTATTTCGTGAAAATCATTCACTTATCGTAATGATCAATAAGTTACACTTAAAATAAACTGATTAGCATATCAGTGTGATTTATGCAGAAAAATAAATTTAGAAGTAATCACTGCAATAAAACCACAAACCTACATGTTTTCTGCTTTGATAAAAAAAAATTAAAAAATTTATCATTATCGAAATTTCGATTTTTATATAACAGTTTTTGCGTCTATTCAGAATCTAAAAATATAAACTTCTGGTTTTCGCTATGTAAAATATGAAATAACGAAAGGTATCTAAAAAGTACAGATTATACATTTTCTAGATGTACGTTTAGATGAAATCGGTTGCATTTTCTCGAATATTTTTTCCTAATACAGTTGAGATGCAAAAAAGAAAGATAAGCACATTCGGCATTTTGGTATTCAGGTGACAGTGATAGGTTAATTGAAATTAAATACATGCTTACAAGCATTTCAGTTTAGCAGTTCCTAGGTACTCAGGGTTTTTATGAGGTGTATGCAGAGAATCTAGCGCCATCTGTACTTCGATATCATAAAAGAGTTCTGCCACTGGTTCAAAGCAAACTTCGCTGAGGTTGTACACCGCGTACTCGTAACATGGAGCACTTAACAAATAGGCTGCAAGAAACACATAATTAAAGCTAATTAGATTTCAAAGTTCCAAATCATTACGCAGTGTAAATAAAAAAGAGAAACATACAAAAATTAATTAATTTATAGATGAATCATTTCTTAACAAGCAATAAAAGCAAATGTTTTACGTTTTAAACAGGTAGTATGCGACTGAGAATATATTACAGCATATTTCCAACGTATATTCTTTGTTAAATGTTTGATGCTTGGAATATAGAATACAGGATGTCAAAAAATGCAACTCTTATAACAATTGATAATTCGCCTAATGTTCCTTCCATTTGTTAAATCGATTGAAAGCAAAGAGGCGCTTTGAACAGAAAAAACTCACTCTGTTCTGAAAACGTACTCTGTAAAGAGCTTCCTAAAAGTCATTTAAAGTGAAAAAAAAGTTTAAAGGAAAGTTTCAAATGGATCCATTTATCGAATATGAAGCTTATGGAGCTATTTAGTTTGTCCATAAAACAAACTGTTGAAGCAAGACCACATGCGCAGTCTGGAGCGAATGAAACTCTTTAGAACGTCCACAGAAATGTTCTTGAAAACCTCAAACAGCAACTGCTTCAAACAGATCCACCTATCCAATTTGAAGCGGTCGGAATTATTTAAAATGCATGTAGAAATGTTTTCGAAGACCTCAGACAACTGGCACAGACATACCTATCAATCCAATTTGAAGCGTATAGAGCAGTGTAAAACGTTTATAGAAATGTTCTCGAAGACTGCAAATAAAATCTGGTGCAGACAGATCCACCTATCCGATCTGAAGTGGTAGGAAATATTTAGAATATCTATAGAAATGTTCTCTAAGACGGGATAGAACTGTTTAGAATGTCCGTAGTAATATGTTCGAAGACCGCAAACAACATTGGTGCAAATCCACATATTCAGTATGGAGCAGATGGAACTAAATTAATGCAGATGGAACTGTTTAGAATGCCCATAGAAATATTTTGAAAAAAAGAGGGTTGAAGGAGTAGAAGGAGGAAAAGCTGATGGCAATGCATTGCTAGATCCTGAAACAGTTCTGTGAAAGAAATCGGTCACATGGGTTGGAATTTCAAAACAGCGTACCTAACTTTAAATGGGAACTTTACATTACATTTAATGATATCATTATAAAATATCATTAAATGTAATCTACATTAAATGCAATTAATGTAGATTACATTTAATGATATTTTATAATGATATCATTAAATGTAATGTAAAGTTTAATTATATTAGTATACATTTAATGATATTTTATAATGATATCATTAAATGTAATGTAAAGTTTAATTATATTAGTATACATTTAATGATATTTTATAATGATATCATTAAATGTAATTAATATCATTAAATTACATTTAATGATATCATTATAAAATATCATTAAATGTATACAAAAGTAGGATTCGTTCCTTACATCCGGGCATTCGCAGCAATGACATTTTTTTTAAAAACTCACCTTTATGCAGCAAAGTGTCTTTATCGCAGACTTCGCTTACCAGGCTATTGATACTTTCGTATTCTCCGGCCGCTGGGAATATCTTTATGTTACAGGCTTTGGAATATTTGTGCATACATTCCACATAGCTTTTAACTACTCTGAAACAGAATAAAGTTTAGCATGAATGTGTGCTAGCGTTTAAAGTCCTTTGAAAAGGAATTTCCGATGAATTTTTGTATATAGAATGAGCTAGATCATTACATCACAATTACCAGAAAGTGCTAAGTAGTTACTTTAAGTTTTACTTTATTTTAAAACTTTCCTTTTTGATCTGAATAAAACTCTCTAGGCATTTTGTCTTTTCATGTGCCACAGAGATTTGTTATATTTCAATGTTTGCTCTCTGAATTCATGCCAAAGCTTTTTGTTGCTTGTGTTGAATGTACATATATGAAAACTTCAAACGTTGAGTGGTTACAGTAAGTAGGGTTGCCAGCTTTTTCGAGTAGCAATAAAGTACATTACAAAATATATATTTAAGCCAGAAGGGTTCTAGCCGAGAAGGCCTGTTAATTTCGTTTTCGGATTTTGCGTCGAAAATTTTATAAGTCTGAATCACCTTTTAAGTTGGTTCCGCTAAATATTATCGCCCTGTATTATGTTTAAAGAAATTAAATAATGAAGAATATGCGTAAATGCATGTATGTTTCTCCCACTGTGATAAAACAGCGGTATCTAGAGCCATCCAATTTTGAATAGCACGTCTCAACCCGAGTATGGGCATCTGAAGGCAAGAATTTGGAATTCATTTTATTAGCTGCTTCATATTTTGTAAAGCATTTATGATCTTTTAAGAAACTCAACGATTTCGAAGCGAGGAATGGCAGCACTGTACAGAAAAAAAAAATATTTTATCTCCAGCGCGTGAGGCTGCGTATCAGCTCTTTCTAAATTATTTTGTGATATTGTCATTATTATTATTAGAAAGAGCACTGCGCTTTGTGCTCTTTCTAAATTATTTTGTGATATTGTCATTGAATTAAATTTTATGTTTTAAGTGAAGAACAAGGTATTTTAAATGAAGGTCCCACACAAAACGTTAAGAAAACGTCCTCTTGGGGGTAATATAAAATCTGAAAAGTTTCGGATTTTCGTTAATGCTCATATGTACAAAATATTTTTTTAAAGCTTCAAAAAAAAATTAGCTCAGTAATTTAGATAAGAGTATATTGACTCATTAAACAGAAAAGATGCATTATTAGTATAATTTTAAGAATTCAAGTAAAGAAATTTTAGTTTAAAAATGTAGAAAAACTTTGAAAAATATTTTAAGGTTAAAAAAATAAATAGGCTTTTAATTTTTATAAATTATATTTGTTCTGATTTTTGGCAGACTTCAGAAAATGTTAAATTTCACAAATTTCTGGTATGCTGGAAATGAATTATTTAACAAATTTAGAACTGACAATATGCCAAATGCAGAATTTTCATTAAAGTAATTCTTGAAGAAAGAAATAATTTGGTCTTTAATAATATTTGAGATTTCGCATTATCTAATTTTTTCAAATGATCATGAACTTCAAAGTAAAACAATTCCTCATCATTCCATAAAGATTATATCTTAAGTAGATAAAAACATTCAAAATGCCTGCATAAAATCTTCTTTCTAAATAAAGAGCATTTGGAGTTTTTTAAAACATTTTAAAGGATGGATCTTTCTAACAAAGGATGCTTGGCGGAATCATTTAATGTATTCCACAGTTTGTAATGTATTTGGTCATCTTTACATCTGTACCTGATTTTTATAGCACATCCTTAATATAACTATATGCTTAACATGTACGATAATAGTGAAATGTGTTCCGCTTAGTCTTAGCAGTCCCCACCATGCACCTTCTTTCCATGTTCTGATCTTCACTTCAATGTTCCTCGTTTCGTGGCCAATCCTCGGAGGACACAGTACTAAGCTCTTTATTTATATTTATTCATGCATTTTTTAAATTCCATCGACGGGATCCAACAGGCTGAAAAGCACCTACCCAGTGGGCCAGCTGTTCCGTCGATGGTGAAAAGAAAAGAAAGTCCCTGTGCAAGTATCAGTTAAGTTTTTGTACTAAATGCCCCACCAGAGGTCGAGCGGTAGTTTGCCACTTGTTTTGCCAATTTTTTCAATATGAAAGACTAGGTGCGACTATTATGCGGGGAAATCTACTATGCAATATTGTACTCTTTGACGGTTTTTTCTGCTTCAAAACGGGGGTTCGACTATTACGCGAGTAAACACGGTATTAAAAAAAGTATTTAAAAATAAGTTTTCATTTAAAATTCGTAAAGTAATTAATGACCTATAAAGAGAATTTTGTTTCATTTTGCAGGTTAATGGGAGTAGTTAAGAGATTAAAACATTTTCATCTACAGTTTTATATCACGAATAATAATGCCCTTAATAAATTTATAAAGATAAAGGTTTATGCTTTTGACAATAAAATGAAATGAATACATTTCGTTTATTTGATAGTCCATGCGTATGTTATTCGTGATATAAAATTGTAGAGGAATTCTGTGTAAAGCAAATTTTTTAGTGTATTAATTCAGATAAACTACATAGTAAAATATTTTTCTCCTTTTAGCTCATTATTTACGATTTTTAAATAGAAGGTTTTTGTAACTATTTTTAATAGTACGTTTGATAGTGTGCGTGACTTTGTACAGTTGTTACGTATTCGGTATTATGCTGATTGTATGTTTCGTCTGCTAGGAGTTTTTGAATAAATAATAATAATTCCATTTATCTGCATAGGATTTTGAGACTGTTTCGTAGCGTACTCTATTTTGAGATTCTTCATGTTTAACTTGAAGACTGCACATCTGTGAAATGAAATCTTATATTCTCTCTCCCTTTGCGTTTTGTCTGACAACACGGGGGGCAATCTATTTTCAACAAAGACACTACGCAGACAAAACAAATTGTATGTCAAATCATCAAGACGGGTAAATATTGGGTCATCCGAAATGTTCTGTGGTTTTGCATATCGAAGGTTTTCCTCATAATATTTTCTTCCTATTTATAAGAAAGTGACCTAAATCGTAGTGGTTGCTTAAAAGTACTTTCTTCTTTACATAATTCTAGCATCTTTTGTATCATAATTTTTGTTTCAATGCAGTGCTAAGTGTGGAGAACGCAAAAGATCATTTTCCTTATATTATGCTCTTTTATTTCCATACAGGAAAATAATGCTAATCGGCCTGTTCGTAAAATATTTGTTTATATATGGGAGAAATGTGGATTCTGATGACACAATTCGAAGATGGCTTGAAAAGTGGAAGTTTTAGCGTCAAAGATGGTGTTCGCTGTGGACGACCATCTTCTATGAACAAGGACCTATTAAAACATGGATCACCACTGAACGGTTGAAAAATGACTATTGGTTTTCAGGCTTATTCTGTGAAGGATATATAAGCATAATTAGTATTATATTATTAGCCTAAAAGGATAATTTGCCTACAAGGGCTATTAATTTCGTTTTGGCATTTCGCGTCGATTCACTATAAATGGCGAAATACGTTTTTAATTGTTGCTACCAAATATTACAGCCTTATATTATATTTAAAAAATTGAATAATGAAGAATCTACATCAAATGTATGTATGTTTCTGACATTGTGATAAAACAACGGTACGTCAGCCATCGAATTTTGAATCACGTACGTCTCCACCCGAATATGGTCATCTGGAAGCCCGAATTTGGAATTTGAAATTTGTTTTATTATTGATTTCATAACGGATTCTTTAGCGAATTTTGGAGTAACAAACTCAACTATTTCAAAGCGATATTGCTGTTGAATTGGATTTTATGGTTTAAGTATGAAGAACATGTTATTTAATAAAAAAAAAGTAGCACGCTAAACGTTAAAAGAACGCCCCTTTGGGCGTAATATAAAGCCTGAAAGCTTTCAGATTTTTTTTGGTGCATTTTTTTTAAAGTTTGATTTCTTTTTATGTACGTTCACCGGTGCCCGTCACAGTGCTAATGTGGCCGCCTTTATATTGATTTATTGTTCCATAATTGCGTTTGTGATGTTGTTACAAATATCTGTTGCACGTAAGAATTAAAATGATTGTAGTTAAAAATGCTGTTATGTGAGCGCAATTAAATTTCAGCTGATTATATTTTTAAGCATATTTAAAATATGCATTCGAAACACTGTTTTTATATAAATACCTACACACAAAGTTTGGCAAATTCTTCTTCATTTTCTGGGAAAAGAAACTTTTCCAGGTTTAGAGCTTCACACGCTGTGTAGGGGTGTTCTTCACAAATATGATGTTCTTCAGTAGGTTCATCAAGTTCATCAGGCGAACCTGTATGTATTAAAACTTATGGTCTTCTCGTTGTTTAAATTATATATATGAAATAAATACAAAAAAGAAAACTTCTACATAAAATATACACCGAAATTCTGTTGCAATGAATGCAAAAAAAAAAAAAAAAAAAAAAAAAAACTTATCTCCAGCGCTTGAGACTGTGTATCGGAAATTCTAAAGATATGCTCTTTTTAAACTGTTTTGGGATATTGCTGTTGAATTGAATTTTTATGGTTTAAGTGCGAAGAACATGTATTTAAAGGTAACACACAAAAAGGGGACAAAACGCCTCTTTGGCCGTGATATAAAATCTGTAAACTTTCAGATTTCTTTTCTTTATTTTATTTGTTTTTTTTTTTTTTTTTGTGTGTGTTTTTCTGTTTTTATTTTATTACTTTTTTGGCTGTTTCTGTGTAATGTAATATTTATAAAATGAGATAAAAAAGAGACTGCCAACAAGATCTTAGCAAGAGATTACAAACCGAAACATCTCAGCGACATTGCCGCCCGTTTTACTTTTCTGTTTGAAATAAAGGGTATATTCTAATCAAGAAAACCTTTAGGTATTACCATATTTGCCGGTGGATAAGACGCACCCTCTTGTTTATACACCTTGTAGAAGGATAAAACTTTATTACTGATCATCATAATGAATTTACAGTATTTTAAACATAAAGTAATATTTTATGCAAATGCCCAATCTATTATGGAAAGAACAACTTATAATCTTCTGCGTCAAAATACAGATACTCATCTCCAGAGCTAAATGACGAGTCACTTGAAACCTCTTCTAAATCAGCATCTGAGTCCTCCATGTTCTTTAGCATGCACAATCACACGTAGCTTGTATGCTATGTTATAGTAATGCCGACGTTGTTTTTGAGACATAACATGCCAACAAATTTAAGAAAATTAAATAGTAAAATTTCACACACTTAAAAGTCGTCCACAAAAACCGGAAAAGTTTAAACGAATCCAGCTATGATCGTCGATGACTTCTCTGAATTCAACGTAATTGTAATATTCCCACACTCCGCAAGGAAACAAGAAAAATAATCGCGTAACTCCGAATAGAGAAAATTTCCCGAAATGAAAGCAATCAGAAACTGAGTATCGATGTATAAACCGCATCTCGTTTTTTCGGACCTATTTTCAAAGGGAAAAAGTGCCTCTTATATGCCGGCAAATACGGTATATTTCAACGAAAATATCCATTTTGATCGCTCACGAATCCATCTGAGCGATACTTTTGTCACTCGCTGATGGGAAAAAAAAATCTGAATCCTTACTATTCTGTTCAACGCTTTGTCTGTTAGCGTAGTGGGGGCGATAATATAGGAGTGAATGTTATTTAAAGGCTGAAGCATCTTTCCATGTTTCATATGATTCACTTACAGTGGCTTCCTTCCCATGTTAACATCTTGGGCAATGGCATTGCAGACAGCCTGGCCAAGGCCGGTGCTAGAGATGCCTTGGAACCTCTACGCCTCTCACCTATATGGAGCTTTTCCCAATATTTAAGTGAAAGAGTAAAACCCCTTGGCTTGATCCACCGGTGCACCTCTGGCATCAGCGTAATCAGCCAGGTGGCTATTTGGAACTTGATTGCAACAGGCAAGATCAAATTACCCACACCCGCTTCCTCAGTGGGAACCTGAGATCTGTGACATTTTTTGAGAGTTATGCTTGGTTCCACTTGGCTGATTACTGATCTTACAGAGTAATCAGCAAGTGGCTCTTCTGAGCACCATAAGTTAATAGCACCTCAGAAGAACACTTGGTGCTATTAACACTTGGTCATCACTTGAACACTTGGTGGTGTTAACACTTTGTTAACACTTGAACACTTGGTGGTGTTAACACTTTGTTAACACTTGAACACTTGGTGCTGTTAACACTTGATTTCACCTGGCTGATTACTGATCTTACAAAGTAATCAGCCAGGTGACTCTTTTTCTGAGCAAGAAGAACAGTTAGTGCTGTTAACAATTGAGCACTACTTGGTTCCACCTGGCTGATTATTGATTTTACTGAGTAATCAGCCAGGTGGCTCTTCGGGACTTGATTGCAACAAGCAAGATCAATTACTCTCACGCTCCTTCCTCAATGGGCACCTTAGATCTTTGACATGTTTTGAGGGTTCCACACGTCTTGAAATCTGCACCAAGTCTTCTTCTGAGCAAGCTTCCCCTGATCGCATTCTTGCTTGCCTGAGACTCTCCAGGCAGAATCTTACTGACAATCCATTATTGATTAAGGATTTCTTTAGGGGGCACAGTGTGATGGACCTCATTTAGCCCTGCTAGTCTTTAGAGATGAACGACTACAAGAGGTATTGCACGGTCCCGTTTGAATTTAGTTTCATTTCTTTTTCTTATTTCAAATTAATCACATGAGAAAGAGTATTAGCTTTATCATTCTGATTGAAACTCTAAATGCAAATGTGTTACTGTCAGATTTTTTAAATTCATATCTCTGAAACTCGTCTGTTAGTAATTCATTCAACTACGTTAGCGTCAGATCTCAAAATGTGACGTGGCCTCCCGGAAGTTTCATGTTTTAGATAGCAGAGAGCTTTAAGTAATGTATCACTTCCGGTTTGTCGTTTGGAATCAAAATATAATTGCAATAAACAGAAATGTCTGTCGTACTAATTATTATATTATATTTATTAGATGTAATTGGCCACAGAATAGAAGTTGATTTTCCTAAATTTATACCAGAATAATCAAATGTTGGCCGGTTAATTTAATTGTTTTTTAACTAAAGAAAAGTAATTGTTTATATAATGTGTTTAACATAAATGTTTTGAAACGAATAGCATATTTTAATTTTCTTCTACATCATTGCATTAAAAAAATTAATTTGTCATTGTCCGTTGTATTAAAAAATCTAAATTCATTTTGATCTGCACGTACATACTAGCGGCGTCTTTAAATATTAGGTGCTCGTTAATTTTTTTTAATGACAGTCGAATATTGACTACCGTGTATATAGCATCAATATGAAGAGAAGCAATAGATGTTTTCGAATCTCTTTGCTTTTGTGCCTCGTCATCGTCAACATTGCAAGAGAATAAGCGCATTATAAATTATTTGAAATTCTGCAAATGAAACGCCGTTATAAAAATCATTCTCTTCGACATTCGGTTTATCATATATAGTCAAAATCTAATAAGTTCGGTTGTAATTGTATGTATATCATATATGTATACGCGAGGTTTAAATACAAATCTGGGAAATTTTGGATCTTGTCATAATATGAGTTTTTATGAGAATTTGTTCAGAGTTTCTGGTAAATTATCATTTCTAGTTGTTTGTTAAAAACTGTTATGGGCTTGAAGAAAAATACCACTTCTGGTGGTCCAATTTTACCCAAAGTAAAATCGTCTTTTTATCTGACTGCAGAAAGTTTAAGTACGGAAAATAATTTTTGGAAATTTCATAGAAGAGTTATTGCGGTTAAAAATCTTCACGCACCGGAAGACTAACACCATTGTAAAAATAATCAAAACGCCTTGTGGGAACCCTTCGTGGTACTTATCCAGTGAAAACTAGCTATTGAATTTTATGACATTACCTCCTTTACCTATCTACATAGATTGGGGGAAAGTACAAATTTGCATGTAAACAATTTGAAAATTTTGCAGGATTTTGTTTGGGATACGTTTAATCACAATAGGTGATTTAGCTTCTTCAGCAAGAAGCACCTCAGTTTGTTAAATAAGATATGGAGCAATGTATGCACAGCTAATCTACCTTTTCCATGCATTCAGATTAACCAGTTAACTGTGATTGACGAGTATACTTGTCATGGAGAAGCGGCCCGATTTTGTGTATTGACGAGTATACTCGTCATGCGTATGAAGCAACATAATAGAAACAAAGAAAAGCGGAGCTAGTGATTGATTATAATAAAAAATGGGTGGAGTGGATATGAGCGATGGAATTATAATAGCGTACTCCATAGCAAGAAAACGACTCAAAAAGTACTACAAAAAGATATTTTTTCATTTCTTAGACATTATGTGTCTGAATGCATTCACATTATATAAAAAAAATAAATAATGGAACTTTATCGCGTATCAACGTTTTGTTCAAATTTATTGAAGAGACTTTTGCGACGTATCCAATTGAAAGAAATAAATCGACACAAACTCGATGTTCCGGATATCGGAACATCGGAGGAAAAAAAAAAAAAAAACCTACGCGAAGGTGTTTGCATTGCTACAAACGTAACATCAGGAAGGAATCGCGTTACTGGTGTTCGTGTTGCGAAGTCCCATTGTGTATAGTACCCTGTTTCGCTGAATATCACTCCACAGCAGGAATTTAAATTCTTACTTTTATATGTATAATAATTAATTTAATTTATTGCGTTTTTAGTTTAATGTGTATGTTATATATGCTTATGTTAACCAAATAAGTAAATATTAGTAATAGAATTTTTTATTTTATAAAATAAACCCATTTTTTTCATGCAATATCTTACCAGAGCAGATTACTCTCTGATTCATGAATCTACTCGTCATGGCTCGATTCTGGCGACACAAAACGGTGCGCACTCTTAAACGAGGGCGCCACAGTTAACTGGTTAAACACAAAATTCTTATCTTACCTGAGGATAATGCGATGAAATACGCGAAGAGTAGAAACCACATTTTGGTTCAAATTTGGGGTATCCTTCCTGTTACTGAAGGACTTGATCTGTTGCAATGCCTATTTGAATAAGTGAGAAACAGTTTCCTTTCAACGGTTATACCAATACCAAATTGCAGTTGTTTCCTCTTCGAACAAAAAAGAATTTGAGCTGAGAAAGAAATGGCCGGATATCCTACTCAGTAATTAGAGACGTATGTTCGAATGGAAGCGGAAGAAAAATGTCTTTTGTGATTTTATTGATATTGAGGAGGATTGTTTAGTAGAAACAATATTCTATTTGCATATTAAAGATTCAAAGTATAACTAAATTTTAATCTAGGAAAAGTTGAGTAACATTTATATGCAACAAAGAATAGCGTCTAGTTTTGCTTTTTTTCAGATTAAATTGAAGAAAAAAAAGGAAGTCTGAAAAGATTCAGATTTTAATTTCGCACAGAGGATTTGTTGAGGATTTTTATACTCTCGCTGAGGATCGCAGATTACAAATCTATTCATGGATTCGTTCCTGCAAACACACTTATTTTACCTCTTTCTTAGATTTATCATTAAGCATCTCTTTCTTCGTCTTACGAGACATAAAATTCAACAGCAAAATCACAAAATATTTAAAAGCAGCTTAGCTTTAGAATTCTCAGTAACGTGTTAGGGGTTGCCATACATTCTCTTATGTTTGCTGTAGTATTTCTTTGAAACCTAGCCGCCTCAAAAATGTATAATGCAAAAATGTATAATCAGAGCAATGAGTCCAGCTGTTGTCATCTCATAAAAATACTTAAAATTTCTGATTAGACAAGCCATAACTTGAATGCTTATTTAACTTTTTTAAGTTGTAAATCTTGGTTTGTTATTTTATTTTATTTATTGTTGTGGCTACAGATGTATTTAAAAGCTTTTCAATTGATTTCTGGGTCGGCAGATTTTCTTTCGTTGCCGATTTCACTTTAGAAACATTAGAAACAGTACGTACCTTTTTCGGATAGTCATTTGGAGTCTTCATTCCATTTAGAAGTAATAACTGACATCTTTTATTTTCCAGTTAATATTGTTGCTTATTTTTCACTTAGATATTTTAATACCATGCATTTCACAATTCTTTTGAATTATGGAATAAGAATATTAATTTCTCTTATCCTCGAGGTTTTCCTTCAGGACTCCAGACTTTACTTTGCGGTACATGGTGTAACTTTTTCTTTGCAATAGAGTGTGATGCACGGGTATAGTTCGACCGCATCATTCGCGACCATGAGCGCAAACACGCATGCGCCATTCGGACCGAATTATTCTCAAAATAGGGTAGAAGGATGGAGACTTTCTTTTCCTCTAGCATAGCTCTTTCCGGAGAAGAGAAGACCTTTCACGTCGCAGCAAGTAATACCGCCCCTTTTGAACGAGTCTATGTGTTTTGGCAGAATGGCAACCAGGGTTGCGCTTCAGACAGTCGAACTATATCAGCACGTACACTTTCCCTCTACAAATTTTAAGGATAATGAAACTGGATGGAGACTCGGGTTATTCGATCGAAAACAAATTGACCCTATTTAAAGACACTTTTGCTTCTTCTTTAGATCTTGTGCAGGTATTGCATTTGGATTGTACATATCCAGGAATTCCACATTCCGTAACATTGTAAGGTATTTCTCCCTCATTCCAGCATGCTTTCGTGGTATAACGGCAGCACACTCGGCGCGTATTCTAGAGGTCCAGTTTCGAGTCCCGGTTAGGACATTACTCATTTTTCATATATTCTGCTTCAAAATAGTCTAATGAATCTACACTGGCGCCCGAACTAAAAATTGGCAGATGATGATTCTTCACCACCAGGATTTCGGAATTGGGTCCTCTAAGGCTCAGTCGCCCTTTAAAAGGGGTATATTTTAGGTATTTTCTCCCACCTTACCGCATGCCATTGTGGTGTAACGGTAGCACACTCGGCGCGTATTCGAGGGGTCCAGTTCAAGACCCGGCTAGAGATTGCACAATTTTCGTGTACACCTGCTTCAAAATAACCTAATGACTCTGCACACTGATAGTATGTGTGTTGGTATCAAAGTGAAAAACTTAATTGTCAAAATGTATTCATATTGTATCATTTACATCGTAAAAGAAAGAATTTCGAATCATGTTAAATCCTAAAGCCAAAAGATAAAATATCCACAGAAATGCTGTCCTATCGTTCGACACGTATCCTTCATTTTCTTCCATTTTATCATCTTTTAAAACGTGGTTTATCCTTCCATATTGTTGCGAAATGCCCAGCCGCCGAGAGATAGCTTCCCCGCAAAGTGAGCTTACGGCTGCCAGAAAATGGCAAGAGGCAGGGTGTCCAGATTTGGGGCGAAATCGCCCATTTGATGGTATGTCATAGATGGAGCTAGAACATTCTAGACGACATTTTTAGCGGTTTTTCGAGAATATTCTAGAATGTAAGTTAAAGTTATATATACACTACCTGACCTGGAAGAGTAGTGGTAGTGTTTTGAGTTCAGAGATTAGCTTGAGAACAATCGATCCAGTCGGGAGCTGTACTTTAGTGCTTCGACGGGATGCCGTCTTCACCGTTATAACCTGAAGGCTGTGTTGATAATTGTTTTAGCGTGTTTGTCGTAGTTTTTCGACGATCGTAAATGTGTCTTTGGAACTGTCCTTTGTAATAGTGCTTACTGATTAATAAATTCTGTATTATCTTAATTTGTCTCAATCTGTCTTGCCATGATCACGCGCTTGTTAGCAGTTGGGTTACATTGTCCAATTTTTAGTCTATGTGTAGGCTGTACTCAGGCATCTGCCTTATTTTCTAATTTTAATTTCGATGCTTTTCTGCAAAAACTCTAAAATATTAATACTGATTTATAAAATTAAGATGAATGAAAACCAGTTTTATTCAGTTTGCTTATATGAATGTGGTACAAGCAAACCGGTTCTTGGGTATTTTGCTTCACACATTTTAAACTTTAAAATGCATAATGTGTGTTCGTTTACACATCAGTTTCTCAACATTTATTCCTGAGACTGACTGTCTTCAGAATATAAATTTTATGAGATATATGAAAGGAAGTATGTGCATTTTGCAGTTAGGAAAAATGACTTTATTGAATGTTAGAGCATAGACAAACAATTTCAGAATCTGATATTCACAAATATTGGTTACGTTATTACATGCGACATAGATCTGATTTTCTGTTTAACTTCTCTTAAGGCCTTCCAAAGTGCGATACAGTGTCTTTTTCAAAGATTCGTCCAAATCCAGCTCCGGTACAATAGACAGCAGTGTCTCCGCATATCCTTGAGGGCACTCGTCATCCAGATAATACGATCGACGAGCAAGATCTACAGTAGACTGTCGGGCGTCGTTTGTGCACTCTGCTGCGGCATAGTCAGCCATACAGGAGACCATGTAAACTTGATACCTGAGAGATTAGAAAAAAAAATTATATCTAAAAAAAATATCTGATGTGAACAATAGAGGGGGTGATATCTGGTGTGGACACCACATGACTTCCTTTTACAGCATACTGACTTGCATATAGATCAAGAAAATATCTTATGTGAACAATAAAGGGCAAAAATAACATCCGATGTGGACACCACATGACTTCCCTTTACGGCATACTGAATTGCATACAGATCTTTTACTACACTGAGTGGAGACTTATTTCCTCGAACTACTCTAACTTAATTAACAGATTCGTCGATCAAGTTGAAAATGAACTCAAAAATGGCAAATTTTAAAATTAAATACTCCGCCCAATTTTTGTTGTACTGGAATCAAATTTCGCATATTTATGCTTTTTCATAACGCGTATCAAACTTTCCCAAACTTAAGTATAGGAAACTGGAGACTGCATTACGAGTCAGATTTCATCATTTGACGAAAAAAAAAAGTTTTTTAATTGACAATTCTAAACTAGCAATTTTTTTAATATTCAGAGTAAATACTCGAGTGTTATAACTCGAGACTTGATACTCGAGTAAGATTTTTCCCTGATTCTGATAACCTATTTCTTTTTATCGTGCTTTTAATGAAACTGCGTGACCGAGATTGACAAATTATGTAACTTTAAGAAGAAAACGAATATTGTCCGCTTAATATATATGCATATTTCAATAGTATTATAAATGCAGCAAAGAATTTTAAAAATGTTAAAACCAAAACTTTTCAAACAAGCAAAACCCCATTTCAAAAAAAAAAAAAAAAAAAAAAAAAAAAATAAATGGAATTGAAAGAAAAACGGACAGAAACAGAAGAGGAATTCAATCAACTTCGGTGCTACTTCGTCAGGGGGGGGGAAGAACACTGAAATCAATTGAAATCTCTCTTCTAAAAAAATCCTTGCTATTCTGTATACAGAATTTGCCAACATAGGGCTGGTTAATGTAAAGTCTAACAGCCCTGTAGAAACCCTATTAATTCAATCTGTTACTGTTAGCGGCTGGCTGCATGGGCGTTTTCGTGGTTTTCCCCATGTGTAACGTGTATACGGGTCAGTTTCCTTTAGAAAGTCCTCCACGAAGGCATCCCTACTCCTAGGCAGATAGGGGAGGGGACCAAACCTGTTACTGTTAGCCTAATTATAATGTATTTATTTCAATGAGTTGTACAAAATATTAAGATCTCATTGCCTGGGATGCGCATGTTGGGCTATTGAATGTAGCGGAGCTCTTTCTTGGGGGTGAACATCACAGATTTAGATTGGACAGCAAGGCTTGTAAGAGGGAACTGTACCTCGTGGTTTATTATGGCGGTCTCTTACTTTTAGCTTCAACATTAGCAGAGAGAAAGAAGCCCATAGGTAAAATAACCGCTAATAAATTTCATAACATGTTGGTATTGGAAGACTATTTAGTAGATGATTGATATGTAGCACGTGTTATTTCGAAACTCCGAGATCTTCAGCTATTATATAGTACACGCAGTTAATTTGAATTTTATATTTTGTCTTTTTTAGATATCTAGCAGATCCGCAAAAGAACACTTCGATGATCACAGATTGAGAAACTTGTAGAGTTGCGCGCCTCCAACCTGCACGCAGCAAAGTGGTGACTGCTGAAACTGGGAATTAGACAGAGTCTTGAGAAGGGTTTAAGTCCTTTTTATTCAACTTTAGAAATTACAATTGCGTGCTCTTGACGCTCACAAACTACGCCGACCCGGCGGTAAAATAAAAATAATAAACTGAAAAGAGATAATAACAAGAGACTAACTACGAGGCTCTCTAAACGTAACTGACCTCACCGCGTTCTACAATACCGCTGATAATTCAGCAAACTCTGAATATTACGTTGAAAGATTAACAATTTGCCTAGGCAAGCACACAGGCCGAAACGCGTGGTTCTTCAATTTCTGACTACCTCCCTCCGCGCTCGTGAAGTAAGAAAAGCACACTTCGAACTCGTTTCCTTTCTATTTAACTCAGAATACTTCCGTTGATAATTTGAATCCTTGCGCGTTCTACTAAAATTTACATACTCTGGCATTGGCAGTTCCAGGGAAAAGTAAGGCTTGACAGGAAAGATAGTTTAAACTTAAAATAAATGTTAATTAAAATAAATATAAACCCTACAAACTTTATCATGCAGGCTTACATTAAAGAGTAAAACAAACATTTTTCACTTGTTGACTTGCTGTAAAGTAAATGGCTAGATGTTATATATTTTCAAATCGAGGTAATCTGGCTCTTGTATTATCAGACAGCATTTCATACAAATTAGTCCTTTAAATAAGGGAAAGAAATTTTACTTATAATAAACAACATTAACTTATTCTTAAGAAATTCGAAATTATTTACTTAAAAAATCACTTTTATACCTTAACACATGACTAAAACCAGGAGGTCTGCAAAATTGTTTTCTTACAAACGCGAATAAAAATTTTATACTTCGTTCAGAATTTGGCGCAATAGTCCTTTACATTATTCTATAGTTATGTGAATATGTAAATATCCACAGAAGCTGTAAACATGGAAACACAACGTAGAAACTATATTCAGGGGAAACAGCAAGAATTGCAAATTCCTGGTTCTAGCCTTGTGATAACGAAATCTAAACTAGGATTAAATTTTTTCTTACAAGCATGAATTTAATTTCCAAAATCTCAATGATTTTATTTCAGTATCATCTGTAATTTCAGCAATTGGGTTCTGTATGTCGTATAGTTCCAAAGCTGTAAAGAGAAGTTCTCTAGATGGACAGACTTTCCTGTAACTGTTGGATACGTGCTTATAGCAAGGAATGCTCTCCAGAAAGACTGAAAAAGAAAGAGAATTATTATTATTCAATCGCAATTTCTTTCCAAATTTCTGACGTAAGTTTTAATTTAAGTTTACTTCCGTGACACAGTTTAATGAGCTGTGGAAATATACTGTTTATTCAGGGTAGTTGCTGCTTAACCTGTTCAATACCGGTAAAAGGAGGGAAACGCTCTTCCACGCCTTCTCGCTCCGAAATTATACCTACGCACGAGGCCAGCGGATTTCCGCCATTGGGCCTAATTTCATTTAAAGGTAAACTTAAAATTATTACTGCAATTAAATACGCTGAAATTAACAATTTATCGTCATTGATAATGTCTGAATATATGCTATTAAAATTTTCTAGATATTGAAAAATACTTATAAAAATGGTTTCTTTTTGACAAAAATGTTAGACGTGTTTGCATGGTCGGAAAAAAAATGAAAATAAAATTTGAACAAATCATCAGTAAAATTATATGACTAAAGAAATTTCATAAGTGTAAAGAAACGAGGGAACTATTCGTATTTATTACATTCCTATTAGCGTCTAGTTATCTACCATGTGCTAGTTTAACTGCTTTTCAACAAATATAAAACTTTTCCTGTCAGATTGTAGAGCCATTAGGTATTTTTTGGCAGCACGCAAGATGAAAAATTAGCAACGTCTTGGCCGGGAATTGAACCATGGACATGTGGAACACACGCCCAACGTGCATACTACAACACCACAAAGGCACGTTAAGAAAGCGGGAGAAATACCTTATAGTAAGCTATTTTTACGACTTTGTATATAAATGACAAAGATTTTATAAACTTGCAAATAAGCAACGAAATTCTAGACTCGGGAAGTATGGTCATATACAGGAGATGTATCAGTACAGCGGTGACAAACTTTCAGGAGAGACACCGAGACGATGGGAAATCACACAGCAAAGTATAGTCGAAAACGCTTTCCTGTCGTTGTAGTGATGACCTAAATCACAAGAAAGGATGGACACGAGAAACAGGGTGATGAAAGTTATTTATTATGCTTAGTATAACAGAAATCAAGAAATAAGAATAAAAATAAATAACGATAGTCATTAAAGAAGGTGTTCGAAATCCCGACCTTTGGAATGTGATGTAGGTGTCACATCTCCAGTCCATAGCAGATGCATGACACACGGATCCTGCGTCATGGTCGGGGGGTCGTAATTTCGAACACCTTCTTTGATGACGATTGTTCTCTATTTTTGTTCTTTTTTCTTGGTTTCTACTGTACTAAGCGTCATAAACATGTTTTCTCACACGTTCTAGTCCTTTCTGTCTTGTGTTTGTGTTGTGACTACCGAGCCAGGAAAGAGTTTCTGACCGTATGTGATTTCCCCATCTTCTAAGTGTACTCTATCTCTTCTGAAAGTTCGTCTTCGCTGTACGTCGTGTGCTCTAAAAGGAGAATCACGTGATTAAGGTCCTTAGCGGGTTAAGTAGGCGCCGTTTGACAACATCGAAATGAGAAAAAATCTACTTCAAAGCAGCGATGGAATTAAACTAATTTAATACAAATATAAAAAGCATATCAATCAATACTTTCATCAAATTTTAGCTAAGCAAACATGAAAGTTTGTTTTGCAACTGTTCATAATGTCTCTGCTGTAAAAGTTCATTTATGAACGGTTCATAGCCACTCTGAAAATTGCTTCGACTATTGTTCTACCCCTAATCTAAATGTTCAGAAGGCGTAACTCATTGGAAGATAATATGCCAATATAAAATTTTAATTTAGGAAAAAAAAACATTAGTTTGTCGTAGGTGTTTTTCAAGGGATTTATTTTTAGGAGCAAGAAGGAAAAAATTCTTCAAAATGTTTTTGCTCCTGCAGAAAAGGGTTACAGCCGAAAACATCGCGGCAAAAACATCGCAGACGAAAACGTTGCGGAGAAAAAACGCAAGGCGAAAACGTCGTGCTACAAAACATCGTGGGAGGAAACATCGCAAAGAGAAAACATCGCAGTCCTAAAACACTGTGTTACAAAACATCGTAGTCGAAAATAAAGCGGTTCAAAAACTTCGCAGTTTAAAACATTTTCGTCAAAAATATCGTGGTATAAAATGAAGTATCTACAAATCATCTCATGGCGATAACATCGCAGACATGCTTTTTTCAGGTTTAATAATTGTAAATGGATATTCCCTCAATGATTTGTGAGCGCAAGATGGAAAGAAGGATAATCTTTTACTTTCATATTTTTTATTCACTAATAAATTGTTGCTGAGAAAATAAGAAGGAAACTTCAAGCATAGAAAATTAATGCAACTTATAGCACTCAATAGAATTTTAAACCGACATAGTTAACTAACAAAGGCCATTAATAAATCATTTTTATAAAGATTTTACTGGTAATATTTCATGAAAAGTATAATCTATAAAATGGATTTAATTAATTAATGCAATAATTTAACTTTTCAGCAAAAATGTATTAGTTAATAAAAAACTGTGAAGGTAAAAATTATCCTTCTTTACATCTTGAGCTCACAAATCCTTATGAGAACCACATTTCCATTTACAGTTATTAAAGTCTGAAAGAAGCATGTTTGCGATGTTATCGTCATGCGATGATTTGTAGATACTTTATTTTTTACCACGATATTTTCGACGACAATGTTTTGTACCATGAAGTTTTAGGGCTGCGATGTTTTCTCTTTGCGATGTTTTCTCCCACGATGTTTTGTAGCACGACGTTTTCGCCTTGCGTTGGTTTCTCCGCGACGTTTTCGTCCGCGATGTATTTGCCGCGATGTTATCTGCGGACACCGCAGAAAAGGAACCTTTAAAATCGATAGAGCTGCTCAAATTCCACATCAAGTAAAGTTTGCCTTTTGGCTTAATTTTAAGTGACTAATATTGAAACCAAACGCCTTAATTCTCTTATATATAAAGTACAGCAATATGGCCAAAAGCTGCAAAAGTACTGTCTAAACTTCATTACCTCAGACGCAACTTTATACTGGAATATACCACTGGACGAGTAAACTGAGGATGTTACAAATATTAGAAAAAATCAAATGAGTATTTAATTAAGCAAAACTGTCTGTTAATCTTACCTGAAGAAGTTCATAATTGTTAGTTTTGCTATTTTTCTCATACATGTCTTTCATAGTCCGTGAAAATCGTATTCAAAATCGAAACTAAGGCTCTTTTTAGGGCAATGTACACTACAAAAAAAAAAAAAAAAAAAAGAGAGAGAGAGGGGACAGTTCTACATCTCCCGTTCTACCGGGGCGATTCACCAAATTCTACTTGCGTTTTTCATGTCTCGAAAGCGCAACCAGGGATATATATCACATTTAAATATGCCATTAATCTAACATAGGTATTTTGACACAAAATCAGACTTTCTCTGAAATGACATGGCAATGTTTTTCCATATTTCGATTCTACGACTCAAATAATGCCAAACTGCCAAATTTGGTAAAAGTTGCGCAAGCCGTTTGAAAACAAATTAACTCTCAAAATTTTAACTCGTCACTGTTAATTAAATTTGATATGTATTTATTAATCTCTGTTTTTCTATTAAATAAACTTCCTTGATTCCTGCTTCCAGAAGTCGAAATATAGGCTTAATTCAAATATAATTCGCACAGTTTTTACGATTTATTTTTAAAATTTGTATTTTTAAATATTTTTTCTAAATTGTTCAACAAACGCTTTGTGTATTATAACTTAAAAATTTTTAATATCGTCTTAAAGTAGATGTACTTCTAGGCACATCTGCAAAAATTATTTTTTTATTCATACTTTTCTAAGGTATAGAGGAATTTACATATTGGAGCGTTTTAAAATTCGGCATCTTGTTTTTGAACGATAATAACGCCAAATATGGTTTACGCACTTTGTTAAAATCATTTGGATGTATGAACGATGATTTTTTTTTCCGTTCCTCTTCAGTGAAAAAAAGGAAAGGAAAATAGGATGCTATCAATAAAGAAGTTTGCCAAGTAAAGTATTCTTGCTCAAAACTGAAAAAATACGCTAAGATAAATTTTTGAATTTCTCCGTAAATTTCGCACTAAATTTTATAAAATTTATTATTTAGGCATAATTTGAGTCGTAGAATCGAAATATGGAAAAGAAATTATATGTGATGTCAGAAAATGTCGAATTTCGTGTCAAAAATACCTATATTAAAATGATTGCTATATATTGCTCTAATATATATCCAATCTCGCGTTTTCAAGACATGGAAAACGAAATTGGAATTTTGCCAACTGGCCCAGGAGAACGGGAGCTATAGAACTGTTGCTTTTTTTTTTACGCAGTGTATTTTGAAGGTGATCTTTTATGCGTCTTCCTTATTTTAAAGAGCCAAGTGTTTAGCCCTTTCCACACATATGCTTGTTTGTGCAGGTTTCTAATTTACTCGGAATTTTGTTCCATATTCGTTCAATTTTATGGGAATTTATTACTCCTAAACTTCCAAATATAGTAGGTAAATTTGTAAAATATATATGCATATATATTTCTAGATACTCTTCCTTAGGCAGGGCCAGTGTGAACCAATCTAATATGTATATATAAATTCGTATTGGTTAAACTTTATAAAAATCAAGAAAACTAAATGCTAAATTAATAATAAACGTCCGTGTTAACGCTTTAGTTAATAATAAACGCTTTAGTGTTGAAGAAATATAAGGTATTTCTTCTACTTCCCTAGCGTGCCTTCGTGGTGTAACGGTAGCACGCTGGGCCGGTATTATCATCCAACACTCTCTTTTAAATCTGGCGCCACTGTGGAGAGGTTTGCTATTTTTTCAATTCTCCTGTTTCTAGTAAAATACCTAATGATTCTACAATGTAATACAGTGTCCGAATGTTAAAAATAAAGTCCCATCTGACTCCCAAAGGTATAGCCCGACCTGAGTAAAGGTGTTTCATCCGCAATAATAGCCCATCACCTATTTCATTCATACTCAGCAAATTTAACTCATTGTCTCATGATGGGCTTTATATTAACGATGGTTACGGCGCTACGCACTATCTGTGCGATCTATGTTGCAATTTCTGGTGCACCACTCCCTTTCATCTACCTACCTACCTACCTACCCACATGCGTACCCTCCACACAACATCAGAGAGCAAAGAAAGAGTAAGGGTGAAAAAGTAGGATTAGCGAATGTATGGGAACGTACAAGTGCAATGGTAAAGCGTATTGTGGCAAGTGTAAGCGTGTAGTGTATGTAACGGCACGAGGGCACTCAAAATCCACTGCGAACTGAAGTCCCTTTGAGAAGTTAGTAATAGGGAAAGAGCAGTCGGTCCGAAGTTCGAATCCCGCAAACGGGCTGGCTGCATGGTCGTTTTCGTAGTTTTTCCCAAGTGTAGTGTGTTAATACGAGCCAGTTTCCTTTAGAAAGTTCTCCACGAAGACACCATTCCCTTCCGGGTGGTGCCTTAGGGCTGAACACGTAAATAATAATAAATAAACTGGGCTGGTGATCGAAAGTCACCTCTCCAGTTAGCGCATCAAATCAAATGATGACCGCGAATGACCTCTCCAGTGCTAAGGACTACTAAGTTATCATTGCTTTAATGATATCGTAACATTTTATTTCCTTAAAAAAAAAAAAAAAAAAAAAAAAAAAAAAAGGAAAAAAAAAAAAAAAAAAAAAAAAAAAAAAAAAAAAAAAAAAAAAAAAAAAAAAAAAAAAAAAAAAAAACATGGAATTCGGAAATCGTGGAATCAAAAATTTTATATACAAATTATTGATAAAATCGCCAAAAGTTTGCTAAATTTTCAAACTTAGGTAGGCAACAAAAGTATTTCTTTCCCAAAAGAAGAAATTACACCTTGTCAGTTAAAAACAAAAGTTTTGGCACGAGATTACTGAAACAGAATTTCCTATCACTAATGTAAACCAACATGGCCGCCTAAATAAGGAAGTCGAATTTATTGGTTAGATTATTTGAATATGGTAAATCACGCGAGAGCTATCTGCCTGAGGAGAGGGCTGCGGGAGGGAAACTGGCTTTTATTCGCATTATTTATAAAGTAAACTAAAATCATTAGACATAAGGTTTTTGTGTTTTCCAATGCTCGAGTCACTTGCCTAACACAAGGGGGATAAACGAAGACACAAATTACATTTGTGTACTTGTTTCGGAGCAGATGTCACACTCTTAAAGATTTACAGCGGGCGGGGGACAAGCTCTTCACAGTAAATCTTGGAAAGGAACCACAAAAGACACTTAAGCATCTGGTCCGTTCAGGAGGAATGACACTCGTGTCCAGCTGGCTGTTTTCAGGGTCATAACCGATCGGCTATTGTAGAACCAAATTGGATCCGCAAAAGCCATTTTTTATATAAATCCATCAACGACGATCCGTGCTTTTTATTATTCGTGATATAAAATTATAGAAGAATTTTGTAAAAATAATTATTTAATTGCTTTTGCCATTAAACTGTTTGATAATTTCTTCCAGGTGATTAGTCTTCTATGTTATAATCATCCCATTAGCCGCTGGTGTTGCGTTGACGCAACGGTCAAAATAAATGCATATATAAATATAACTACCTAAGATATTTTATACCAGCAGATGATTTGTCTAGGGAATATTATGAAGATTATTTCTGTAAAAAATATTTGCCTTCAACAATCATTTTGTGTATAATTAATTAATCTCATACTTTAAGCAAAATTTAAGCAAATTTCGACCGGGTATTTTTTTGCTGAAAATATTTAACGAAAGAATCACCGTCTTAATGAGTGATCTATTTTTAGTCAAGGTCATCCTTTACCAGAACATTACATCAGTCAGATGTTTATATTTGTGTTGGGAAGGAAGAAAAAAACAGGTGTTGCGCTGCGCAACGTCAGAAATGAAACGGGGGTAGTCAATCTCCTTTTTCACTCATTCCTTTCGATGTTTTAGTTCATGCTCTGGTTGTTTCAAAAATGCCTAGAACGAGGTATCTTACATTAGAAGAAGCTCTTCAAAGATTTTTTGTTGAAGAAGAAACAGATGATGATAATGTTAATAATGACCAGAATGAGAGGGGTTTTGATTAACGGATATTATAAGTTAAAAAAATATTGAACTATAGTGTTTTGTGTTTTCCAAAGTCACCTAACACGAAGGAAAATGACACAAATTTTTAAATATCGGAAATTTTACAATGATACTGCCGAGTAAGTTGAAATCAGCGTAAGAATAAGTTTCACACCTTCTAAAACAGTAATGATAATGATGTTTAAAATGATACTGCCGAGAAAGTTGAAATTCACGTAAGAAGTAAGTTTCAGCCTTCTAAAAGCAGACCTAAAAAGATTTAAAAAGCAGAAGACTGAAGTGAAGTGGATGATGTTAATGTTAAAAAAGGACGATGAGAAAGAGATAAAGATAAATATATTAAAAGGACAAATACAAGTAAAAACTAGTGCACAGATTTCGATTTTCGTTTTGGTTTAGATATTGACTCTCTTCTCGTTTTCTCGTTGAACAGACAAATATTCACGCTCAGCAAAAAAAAAAAAAAAAAAAAAAAAAAAAAAAAAAAATTAAATAAAATAAAAAAATAAAATAAATACCCAGAATTTATTGCATCTGAAGCCTGTATGAGAAGATTTATTGGAATATTATTGCTTACAGGATAGCATTCTTTACCTCAAGAAAAATTTTATTGGTCTTTTGATAAGGACATTTCTGTTCCATGTTGTACTAGAATCAATATCACGTTTGCAGTACAGGAATTATGAAGCAGAATTTGCATTTGACAATAGTCAAATTGACAATACTGATAAATTATACGAGGTGAGACCGTATCTAAACTTACTAAATATCAGAACCTTTTTACTGGTGGGAATATAAAGTCTCTTTCAGATTTCAGACGCGAGAATGCATTATTCCTTTTGAAAACTCCTATTGAGAATGTAGAATTTGCCAGAAATAGATCAGCAACAGGAAAACCTAGTAAATTCAGCATTCAAAAACCACTGCATGGAGATGGTACACATTTTATCGTAAAGTCCGTTGATAACAAAAGACTTTGTCGTAAAGAGAGACTGTTTATAGATGCAAAGTATGTAATGTAGCTTTACATCATGATTGTAATCAAGTTTTTCATGCTTGAATCTTTCAATTGAAATAATCTGTATTTGTAAAAGAAATACAATGTATATTTTAATATTAAATTAATTACAAGTAATATGATTTGTAGATTTATAAAACGTTATACAGCTAAAAAGTAATTCTGCGCTTCACTCAAAAATCACACGAGTACAATCCTACTCACTAAACGTATAATGACCAGAATGAAGAATAGTCTTTTTCCGCTGCTGATGTGCGAACGCAACACTCGCTTTTTCCACAGGTAAGAGCATGTTTTTTTATTTTCAATGTAAATTTATCGTATAAATGCTTAAATTAATATTTGTTATTATTTTCGTGACAAAAGAAACATTCCTTGTAGTTTTGGGGGTTAATGGGTTAAAAAATTTCTGCTATAGAAATATTTTATAAACTTTTAACGTTTTTGATATACTTAAAATGAGGAATTCAAACGGTAGACATAAAATGTCTGCAATGAATAAGCACTTTAGTGTAGATTTGGTGATAAATCGGCAAACTAGCACAATTCCTGATGCTATTATGAAAAATTTTAAAAAACGTCGCAAAAAATAAAGTTCTCGCGTAATATCATAAAACTAAAATTAAATAATTTTCATAAAAAATTACAAAATATTGTGCTTTTTACCACAAATATCAATTAAAATTTAATTCTAAAATTTTTAGTATCAGTTATTTTGCAGAAAAACGTACACTATTTAAATATAATTCTGAAATGAAATGCTTAAATTGAATAAACACTTTTTTTATGAAACCAAAAGTTAGTCTTATCTTCGGAATTCAGCAATAGCAATATCCTAATCTGACAATTCTTTGCTCAGACGCAAGTTATATAAACACAAAAGATAACCGCTGAATGATCCGCTTCAAAATCTGTCTTTAATACGGCAGACCTCTGACATCCATTTCACCTTGAAATAAACAAACTTGGCAATTGGTACTAGCAAACTTGTTCTCAAAATTTCAGCAACGTTCTGGGATTAGGAGACCAGCACCATCGAAATTGATAATTGCACTCCTAATTTCCAGTATCTCGGTGGAACCTCCAATTTTATAAGACTGTAGTGTATTTTACAGTAATTGACAAAATAACAAATAATCTTCTTAGTAGAACTTAAATTTTATTTTTATTTTACGGAGATAGATAATTTGAATGCAATTCTTTAGTGGCAAAAAAAAATTCATACATCTACTAAATGGTCAAACTTCAGAATTCTAATTTTAAACAATTTCTTACGTTGCTGGGCAACGGTTACATCATACAAATATAGCGTCGCCATTTCAATAATAAATAGTTATTTTTTAAATAACAAAATATTCAAAAATATTCGCAGGTAGACTTTTGTGCTAAGTTCGGAATTTTTATATTATAAATTTCACTAGAAACGGGAGCAGGAATAACGTCACTCACCTCTATGCAGGTGACTATCTCTGTCACACACATCATCTATCGCGCCAATGAGGCTCTCGTATTGCCCAGGATTCGGAAAGATTGTCACCTCGCAGGACTGATCGTAGACATTCAAACATCCTATGTACTCCTTAAATAATCTGAACGGAAAGTAATAAAATTTTAGAACTTAAGAAGGATTCTCAAAATTACTATAAAATAATGAATAGTTTATATTTAACGGAATGCATTTACAAAATACATTAACTGATAATATATATAATATAAAATATATTAATAAAATTTGTCAATAGACCTTTAAATTTCTAATTTTCAATTGGTGTACGTCACTTCTTCAAGGATACGAATGGCGCCATTTTACATCATTCTTTTCCTGCAGAGATCCGCTCTGCCGTGGGCTTTTATCTAGTCATCATTTGGAACTCGAACCAGGGCTGTGGAGTAGGAGAAGGAATCGGAGTCGGGCAGAATTTGGGGTAAAAGGAGTCGGAGCTGGAGTCGCTGAAAACAGGTCGACTCCGACTCCACTTTTTGTTCGACAGTTTGATTTAAAAATGATATTAAAATCAATTGAAAAAGAATTAATGACAAGCTGAGTTATTATTTTAATTTATGGACTGTATATATTAATAAATAATTATTGTCTATTTTATTGACATATTAATAAATAAATATAAGGGTGGAGGATGGATGTGATATATTCCATTAGTGATTAAACTGATTCATTTAGTTACAAATCTCACTGGTAAAATTAGCAGGGAAATAAGCAGCAATCGCAGCAAGAACTCTCAAAATTGATGACATTCTTAGGAAGCAAACAGGCAAAGAAGCAATTATTGATCAAGCAACGCGATAAGGAAGTACATATTTGATGATAAAGAGGTTTTTAGAACTAAGAATGTTTTTAGAAGATGTAGATAACCCTAATGTTTCACTAACAGAAAGGCTACGGAATGATCTTGCAGAATTGGAAACTTTTCTTTTAACACCATATATAGCCACAAAAAAAAGCTGTAATCTGAAGCACTGACAGGAGACGAGAATGGAGTGTTTGTTCTTTTTGAAATGGAGGGTTTACTGAAGAAGGAATAACTTCTTCAATGAAAAAAAGAGAAACTAGTATGCTAGACAATGAGAACTTGATGAGTTCAATATATGTAGATCCGAAGCACCAAATTTTCTTGGATGACAAACAAATTAAAAAGGCAAAGATAGCTAGCTATCTATGAACTTTCATTAAGAATGAAATTATTCTCAAAACGACTGGAGAATTCGAATCAGGAGAGTCAAACTGCAGACATCGCAATTGAGTCTATCATCCTTCTTCCGTGATGAATTGAATTAGAAATTTGAGAAATAAAGATTAAAAATTCCTCTTTTTTAGAAGTTATAAAAATCTATCCTGAAAAGTTATAAGAAATAGCCCAAACAGTAACATCTCTTCCTCCTACTCAAGTTATGTGAAAAGTCTCTTCTCAGCTCTGAAGTATATCAAACTGGATCTATGGCCCTCCAGCAAAGAAGATCTTGCCGAAGCTAAACTGTTTCTTAGAAATAACTAATGCTAATTTTTCCATTTCATAATATATGCTAATTAATATAAATAATTTCCTATAACATTGATTTTTTTTTTCTGTAGCATCTATTACTTCTTTTATATTAAAAAAATAAGCTGTAACCTATGTGTACTTGAATTACTGTTATTAATTTGAAATAGACTACTCAGCATCATGAAGACCTCACTGAGAAACGGACTTCTTTCTGCCAGGTTAGTCCCCTCTTCCACCAACAAATGACCAAACTAGCAGATTCTTCACTTCCTCATGCCATGCTATTGAGCCTTCTTCTTTCTTTTGAATGCTGATCTCCCATCTTGGGATCTACTCATGTAATCCTCATCACCATGCCCATAGTGGAAACATCTCAGGTTGCAGTACATAATCAGATTCGTATCAAAGTAACCCAGGAGTTTATCTCGCCTGCTGTCGCTTTGACAAATCCTGTTCGCTGCTCCGCTGTATTTTCTGTTGTCAGAAAATAGTTAATTTGATGAAGTTAATTTGGTAAATTAGCTTCATCATAAAGAATTGTAACTATTTGAGAATGATAAATTAATTTAACTTCATCAGAAAGAATTGTAACTATTTGAGAATGATAAATTAATTTAACTTCATCATAAAGAATTGTAACTATTTTAGAATGATAAATTATTTTAACTTCATCATAAAGAATTGTAACTATTTGAGAATGATAAATTAATTTAACTTCATCAGAAAGAATTGTAACTATTTGATAAATTTATTTAACTTCATCAGAAAGAATTGTAACTATTAGAGAATGATAAATTAACTTCATCAGAAAGAATTGTAGCTATTTGAGAATGATAAATTAATTTAACTTCATCAGAAAGAATTGTAACTATTTGAGAATGATAAATTAATTTAACTTCATCAGAAAGAATTGTAACTATTTGAGAATGATAAATTAATTTTTAACTTCATCATAAAGAATTGTAACTATTTTAGAATGATAAATTATTTTAACTTCATCATAAAGAATTGTAACTATTTGAGAATGATAAATTAATTTAACTTCATCAGAAAGAATTGTAACTATTTGAGAATGATAAATTAATTTAACTTCATCAGAAAGAATTGTAACTATTTGAGAATGATAATTTAATTTAATTTCATCATAAAGAATTGTAACTATTTGAGAATGATAAATTAATTTAACTTCATCATAAAGAATTGTAAGAAATGTAACTATTTGAGAATGATAAATTAATTTAACTTCATCAGAAAGAATTGTAACTATTTGAGAATGATAAATTAATTTAACTTCATCAGAAAGAATTGTAACTATTTGAGAATGATAAATTTATTTAACTTCATCAGAAAGAATTGTAAATCATATAGAATTGTAACTATTAGAGAATGATAAATTAACTTCATCAGAAAGAATTGTAGCTATTTGAGAATGATAAATTAATTTAACTTCATCAGAAAGAATTGTAACTATTTGAGAATGATAAATTAATGTAACTTCATCAGAAATAATTGTAACGGTTTGAGAAGTTACTTTGATAACGCTTTGAGAAGTTAATTTGGTAACGCTTTGAGAAGTTAATTTTAACTTCATCAGAAAGTATTGTAACGGTTTGAGAATGGTAAATTAATTTCACTTTATGAGGAAAATTGAAAAGGAAATAATTTCAGTTTTACCCGGTTACTTGCTGCAAATGTTTACAATTCGGATTGAAATTATAAAAAAAAAAATAAAATATAAAATATAAATAAATGATTAATTAAAAATACATAGTAATATATTAAAAATAATAATAAAAAGTTATAATGTAATTTGAATATAAATTGCATTCTGCTTTTGCACTACAGTCTGTTACTTTAAAATAAGCAGTGCAAGGTCGTAGCTAACGTATATTTGCGTCGTGTGCATTTCACGAAGCGAAGCATGCTGAATGTAAATGAAGTGGGGAAAAATAATTATACGAGTCTACCTTCATTCCGCAGTTGTCGTTTCGATGGTTACCAATCCAATCGGTAGACGTAAAGCATTCTTGAACTCCATTTAAAGTAATGGAATATTACTTTAAATGTATTAGGATTAGGATAAAAATTTGATGGTTAAATGAGAAACATACTATAATGTAATTTTTATGTTGCATTTTACAGAGAAATTACCTTTATTTTTTCTTTCTTCAGATCTCTGCAATTTATTAAAAATACTTACGGACAAACTTCGGCAAGTCCTTCTTCAGTCTCTGGAAAACTGCCTACCTGTGTCATCTGCTTGCATTTCTTGAATGGACCTAAATCGCACATATCGGAATCAGGCTGACCTGTAAGTATATAATTTTAATATATATTAATTTGTAAGTTCGAATTTTAATGAATACAGATAAAGAAAATTCTAGGTATCAAAATAAATAAAAATCACAAATTCCCTTTCATTAGTGGAAGAAAATACAACATAAAATTTGAATGGAACTTAAAGAATATTTTAGTTAAATGCGCCAAACTGCCCGCCGCTGTCCTCTGAGAAGCGACGAAATATTGTAAAAGCTTCATAATTCATATAACAAAGATAATTGGCCAAACTGAACAAAAATCAAAGTCGGACGCTGAAAATATCTAGAATTTATATATGATTTGTCACGGCTCTTTTATTACCGTGACTGCCAGTCAGAGCAGCACCGAACATAACGATTTTGTCACCGGATTTATTAGCAAATGTTCTGTAATTTGACAAAGAAACATTCATACCGATAATTTTCATGGGATTGCATAATGCCTTTCTAGATATAGGAGGTTTTAAAATCATACACATAAGAGTAAGCAGCTGACATAACGATTGATTTCTCCTCCTAGTCAGTCAGTGAGTGAGTGAAAGCTTTATTTGCTTTTCTCTTCCAGACTGCGGGGAAGTTCGTGTTGGAAATTGCAGTATCGCCAGTGATGCCAAAAGAGGGCTTATGTTTCTATTGGTAATCGAATGACTGACATGATATTAGCAAATTTTTAATAATAAAAAAGATATTAGCAAATTAAAAATTTAAAAAATAAAAAGCTGGATGCAGCGTAATCTACTATATCACACATTTGTTTTCATTCCGTTCAGTTTGCTCAACAACATTTATATTACATAGCATAGTTTCTACAATATCACATCTCGAAATGGTAAAACTATATTCTATGGAAAACGCATGCACTTTCTACTATATCCGATATTCTCAACTGACACGTCCAGGTACACTGCGCACAGAAAAAAAGGGGGAGGAAGACAGTTCTATATCTCCCGTTCTACTGGACCGATTGACGAAATTCAAATTGCGTTTTTCATGGCTCGAAAGCGCGACGTAGGTTATATTTTAGATTTATATACAACATTGTTCTAACATAGGTATTTTTGACATAAAATGAGACTTCTTCTGAAATAACATACGCATTTTTTTCCATATTTCGATTCTACGACTCAAATTATTCCCAAATATTCAATTTTGTAAAATTTGGTGCGAAATGTACGGAGAAATTCATGACTTGGTGTTGGCGTTTTTTTTTTTTTTTTTTTTTTCAGTTTGCGCCAAGAATAATTCACTTGACGAACTTCTTAATATATGGCAACCTATTTTCCTTTCCCTTCAATTGTGCATGAGCAGGAAAAAAGTCGCATCGTTCCTAGTTTCAAATAATTTGAACAAAGTGCCTAAACCACAATTGATGTTGCTATCGCTTTCAACAAATATGCCAAATTTCAAAAGGCGCCAGTATGTTAATTCCTGTATATCTTCGGAAATTTTGAATAACAAACTACCACCTTTTGCAAGTATGCTTAGAAATAAATCTACTTTAAAATGATGGTAAAACTTTTATAGATTATAATTCAATTTTTTTTCGAAAAATTTATAAAACTTATTTAAAAATACAAATTAAAAAATAAATCATAAAAAATGGGCGAATGTTATTTGGAATGAACTTAAATTTCGAAATGTGAAAGGAAGAATCAAGTAAGTTTAATAGAAAAGAGAGATTAATAATTAATAAATATATACCAAACTCAATTAACATTGAGGAGCTGAAATTTTGAGACCTAATTCTTTAAAAATTACACGTGCTATTTTTACAAAACTTGGCAGTTTGTCGTCATGCGAGTCGCAGAATCGAAATATGAAAAAAAAAAAAAAAAAAAAAAAAAATGTCATTTCAGGAAAAATCAGAGTCAAAACACCTATATTAGAACAATGCTATATATAAATCTAATGCATACCCTAAGTCTCGCTTTCCGGACATGAAAAATGCAAGTTGAATTTTGTCAATCGGCGCAATAGAAGAGAGTTTTTTTTTCCTCGCAGTGTACGTATTGTCTTGGACTGGGAAAAATCTATATCCGCCTTGCGGAGAAGCTATCTTACCACGGCTGGGCATTTCGTAACACAAGGTCTTTTGGAAAACTGCGCAAAAGATATGGGAGGTGAATACTTGCCTTCGTTGTACAATAGTAGTATACGATGGCAATCTCATGGTAATGTTCTACTAAGTACCATTGAATTTTGGCAAGAAATTTTTATTTTCTTAAATATGTTGTATACAAAGATGCAGAAGATTACTGATGCCGAATATTTAAAATAAAACTGGCATATTTATGCACCATTTTTGAAAAGCTTAATTCCCTTGATCTTTCTCTGCAGGGAAAAAACTTACATCTTCTGAAGAACGATGTTTTTGCGTTACATCTATATGTGAATAAAGTTTTTTTTAACCCAACTTCACAACCCAAAATGGATTGTGAAGTGGATTTAAAATGGAATTCAGAAGAGATTTTTTTCGTGACAATATAAAGTTCCACTAAGCCTAACGACGCCGCCATTTGTTCACGTTTGAAACTTAGTAGCATAGTGAATTAAATCAATTTCTCCACAAACTTCATAATTTTTTGCTGAGTAGGGCCAAAAGATTTATGCGCCGAAAAATATGTCTTTCTGCTTAATTTTAATTGATTTATACTCTAATTTTAATAGTAAAATTTTTTAATGGTTTTTAACTCGATTTAGTGTTTTAGATTTTTCTGTATTTTACGACTTTTAAAAAACATGTTTTGAATTTTTACGTCTTTGTTTCCTTATTGCGAAGTGAGAACTGAATTGATTGGATCAGAAAATTATCCCTAATGAAATTCGAGGAAATAATTGTAAATGAATCGCAGGAAAAAATGTGCACAATTTAATAGGCCGTACAATGATGTCATGTGGCATCCACACCAGAATTTTTAGCCCGTAACAGGGGAGGTGAAAAAGTTGAACATAACAGGGGACGTGCGGTCTCAGAGACTGCGAATTATAATAAATTTTTAAAAAATCGTCTAATTAAAATATCATCATGATATTTCACTTAGATGTTTTTTGAACATTTTACTCTGAAAAGAAAATATGTTTTTACACTTTAAAGTGAAATTAAATTTTTCCCAGAAAATTTCCCCATAGCCTCAAATTTTTCGATGAAAATCATATGCTGCACTAAATTCTATAAAACTAAAAATAAGAATGCATCTATTTTGAATTAACTATTTTATCTATATTAGTTAATATTCAAAGCAAATTTTAACCGCAGAAAATTGTATGTAGCACAATACAGAAAAATTTTTACAGTATCTAAAATATCAGTATCTCACTGATTTTCTGATAGTAAACAATTTGAGTTTTCGTCTTCTTTAACACATTCATTGCATAACTTTTGCTTGCATTCCAAACAAACAGGGTCTTAGCAAGATAAACATAAATATGCTGGTCTTTCTCTCTTCTTGCTTGGGGGGCGCAGACGACATGTTTTCCTTGATTTTAATTTTACTTCTTTTGTGCACTGCTTCACATCCTTAGACTCAGCTTCTTTTGTGCACTGCTTCACATCCTTAGCTTCTTTTCCTAAAATCCGCTTTATCGTCAGGCGCAATTCTAGATTTATTCTAGGATTTTTCCCTCTCGTGTGTAGTAGTGGTTGGACTAATTCTCTCGCTAATTCTTTCGAAAACACCATTCTGGTCATAACAGGGTTTTGGTTATAACCTTGGTGCAAAATGTATGCGTTTACTGCACTCATACCTACTAACCGGTAGAAAAGAGCCATAGGCCAATATGGTTGTTCTCCTAATACAGGAATGGACAGAACATTTTTCATCTAAAGCATCAACACCACCTTTGGTTCTGTTATAAAAACAAATTATTTCAGGTTTCTGTGTTTCCGAGTCTGTTTCTATCGAATGATGCAATGATGAAATCAAAACCACCGCTCGCCTTTTTCGCAGAAATTTTCTTCACAGTCATCTTCTTCACTAAAATCACTTCCAACTTCGTCTAGAATTTTTTTCAGTTCTTCTGAATAACGTGGATCAGAAGGATAAATGAATCTCTGCGGACCTAACTTCAGAGCCATGTGTTCACTACTGCCGAAAATTGTAACACTGAGAGGGAGGTGAGGTCTCACAGACCGCTCTAGAAGAATTTCAACAGATACACTTGCCAAAGCATTCCGATAAGAAGGGGTCAAAGAAGGTCACGAAACGTGAAGCTAGGGGAAGAATCCATTCACTTGGACAAAGCATGCAATAGGGGAGATGGGAGGAACATGTGGCGCGGTCCCTGAGACTGCACGTCCCCTGTTACGGGTTAATATTGTAGAATTTTTTTATGTCAAATGACCTTAATTTTTCTCAAGAGGTAAAATCCATGTTTGAAGAACTGATTATCTGGTTTGAGAAATATTTAAAAAATTAAAATTTCGATAGGTGTGCATGAATTCAATGTTCATTTAGCACTACAGCTGCATCTGAATTTACTTCTATGGAATAAGAGAAACTTATCGGGTTAGCCTGCGACAAAAGTTTGAAAGCAAAATTCGGCAGCATGGAATTGACAGAATTTTGCATTTCAAGAAAAGATGAATACCACCTTCTTATTGATAAGGCTAAGTGAATTTTAATTCTCTTTTCGACGTCGTGTTTGTGCAACGCTGGGTGGTGGTCGCTGTAATAAAAAGCAAGTAGAGAGCAAAAAAGAAATCCTTGGGGAATCAATGTGGAAAAGGAAATCATTGTGGGTGTGTCTTGTTTAATTCCATGATTTGAAAAAATATGCAGGGATTTGCAGGCGCATCCATAACATTAATTAGTAACTTATTGTTAATGAAATTAAAAAAAATGCTAAGTAATGGAGATACACGAATTTTAAACATTTTTATCTCTTATTTTCGATTAGCTACACTTTTACTTAAGGTAGGGCTCCATGAAAAACTTTTATTTCAAAAAAGGTGCTGCGACTCAGTAAACATTGGGAACCACTGTTTTAGTTAATGCTATTGACTTGCCTTTGCAATTAAACAACAGATAGAAGCTTAGGTTGGTTTTGGTTTCATTGGATTATTTGAATATGACAAAGCACGCGAAAGCTATTTGCCTAAGACTTTTCCAGGAGAAATAGACGTGTATTCATGTTACACATGTTGAGAACCGGGAAAACGGCCATGCAGCCAGTTCTTTCGTCTGTAGTCGAGACTAGCGGTATGTAGCGACTTTACTTTTAGGTCCTTGATTGGGGCAGAATCTTGGGAATCAGAAATAGAGAACAATAATATTATTGATTGACCGAGTTTATTAAAGGTTTTTAAAACGTTTTTGATTATTAACCTCTTTGTCATCCGTAACGCGTCTAGCGCGTTCAAGTGAAACTTCCGCAGGACAGCCATAACGCGCTACAAGCGTTCTTCTACATTTTAAAATTTTTAAAGGTTTAAAACGCTTTCTGAATGCTTACTTGTTTTAGTTTTTATTTTTGTTTTTTCTAATACCTCCTAGAGGGCAGCAGTAATCAGGCATTCTATTTCTAGTTGAATTTGCCCCGGGTGTTATGAATATTCGCGCCATTTTACATAAGATACAAGACAGTGAGAGATGGCTTCAACGTCTACTCAGCAGAAAAAAAAAAAAAAAAAAAAAAAAATAAGGTTGTGAATTGGAAAGACAAGAAGGATATGCGTTTGATGAGTGCAGTCCATAATAACTCGATGATTGATGTTGGAACACGGAAAAGAACTGTAAAAAAAACCAATAATTGCAAAAGATTACAACAACAAAATGGGAGGAGTGGACCGCCTGGAAAAGATGTTATCAAATTAGCCTGCTGTTAGAAATAAGTAGAGATATTATTTTTCCATTATGCTTTATTTCCTTATAATTTTACTTAATATTCTTTGACATTCATCCACTACGAAAGTTATGTATGGTAAGTTATGATATACAGAGAAAACAACAATACACGCTACGGAAAACAGACAGCCGCTGGGGAGAAATTTTCGCGGACAGGAGAGGACGGCGAAAGGGTTAATAGTATTTTGCATATTTTGGGACAAAATAAATGCAGTCGTAAAAGAACTGTTGAATTTCTTTTGCTGTACATAGAAAGAAACTGTGAAAACTCTGCACAGAAGATGATTGGTTGTTAAATGAAGCCGGAACGAACTACTAACGCTCGGAAGTTTATTTTATTCATTCTGTGCTGGTAATCCCATTTCATCCGATGTGGAGTCAAATATTTTTAAGGCAGCTTGCGTTCCTGGAAGTTAATTTAAAATGCGCTAATACCTTTATAAAGTTTGCATTTGAAGAACCGGAACTACAAATAAAAAATTTCCGGACTGCTGTAAGAGTCCTTATAAGACATACGCAGTTGTCATGTCCTACGAAATCAGAAACCAGTGTTGTTTGTTGTTATAGTACGAAAAAAGTCTTTCGATAATAAAAGAGTATGCCATGAAGGAGATAACACATGCAAGAATTGTTTTATACAATTGAAGAGTGAAAGGCTTGACTCACTGCATGTTGTTGTTAAACTTTTTAATACTCCCAAAATGACTCTCTGAGACAGAAGGTATTAATATAAAGAAATTTGCTAGGCTTCATATTATAACGGTCGCCCAAAGGGACTGTTAAGGTTTTCAATACTGTCGTTGGACTTGCAGTCTGCCAGTTTGATGTTACATTCACTCCTACGAACCTCATCCCCCCCTCTTCTTCTTCTTCTTTTTTTTTTCTTTATTATTAAGCCTCATTTTTTTCGCATTTACACTATATACAGTTCAGCAGCAAAATTACGAAAACTTTTAAAGCAGCTTAGCATTACACGTTTGGAATTCGCGATGCAGCGTTAATTATAGGCATATATATATGTTTTTTTAAGTCTTTTCTCAGTTTATTGTATCAATGTTTTGCTTTCTTACTAAGATGGCTTGCAAAACGTGTTTTTTTTTTTTTTTCCATTCTTAATGTTTTGTGCATTTATTTTATTTATTATATATCAAGTTCTTGGCTCTAACGCCACATAAAATTCGGTCCAATTAAGAAATTGGAAAATATTTAAAAACAGCCTATCTAGAATTTCTGATAGACAGTCTCGCGCGCTGGATATAAAAGTGTTTTTTACGCGCTGGATATGAAAGCGTTCGGGTGGAGAACTACATTATTCGGAATTTCATGGCTCTATTTTCAGTTTTTGTATAATTTTCACGAAATAATGAATTTCTTATCACTTTTGTAGTGATTATATTTCAGTGTGAATGAAATGCAATAAAAAATGTCATAAATCTAGAAATTAAACAAACATTTTGAAAAGAAGCCTTACCTCAAGCAGTTTTATACCAGAATACCAGGTATTTAAAAAATTAAATCAATAGATAAAGCGCGGCCATTACATTCCTTAAAGTCGACATTTTGTGCAATCAAAATACGTAATTTTTTTTTATAGAAAGTTATACTTGTGACATTAAAAAAAAATTTAAAAAGTAAAATAATAAAAGATAAAAAAAAAAAAAAAAAACCGAAAGCCTTCAAATTTTATATTACGCTCAAAGGGGCGTGTTTTAAGGTTTTGTGTGTTATCTTTATTTATTAAATGTCATGTTCTTTTCTCTTAAACCATAAAATTCAATTCAATAGCAATGTCGCAAAATAATTTTAAAATGAGCATATCTTTAGAATTTCCGATACACAGTCTCGCGCGCTAGAGGTAAAAAAAAAATTTTTTCCGTGCAGTGTTGTTTTTTGCTCGCTTTGAAATCGTTAAGTTTCTTAATCAAAACCCATAAATGCTTCACAAAAATAGGAAATGGAGAATAAAACAATTTCCAAACTAGGCCTTCCGGATGCCCATATTCGCGTGGAGACGTACGTTATTCAAAATTGGATGGTTGTATAAGTATTTCTGTTTTATCACAGTGCGGGAAACATACATACATTTATGTAGATTCTTCATTATTTGATTTCTTTAAATATGATACAGGGCAATAATATTTGGTGACAACAATTTGTAAAGTGATTCAGACTTTTAACGTTTTCGACGCAAAATGGCAAAATGAAATTAACAGCTCCTTAGGCTAATAATGTAAAAATTAATTAAACATAAATCTAATAAACCATTTTCTTTTTCAAAACTTTTGTTCATATTCTTAATCTTATTGTTATATTTAAGTTATTTTATGCGCTGTTGTTTGTATTATGATTATGTTGTGTACTGTATAATAAAGGGAAAATATCAAGGAAGTTAATGAAGAAAAGTATTGTTTTAACAAGGCTCGAAGCAAGAAAAGGTTTGGGAATATCTTGTACAGGAATATTTAAAACTCGGACAAAAGAATAGTTTTACTTATTACTTTGTTGTTTGCCTCATAAGTATATTGCTATATTTCCTTTGATTTGGAAATGTTTGTAAGCAAGTAAAAAAAAAAAAAAAACATAGCAAAAACACGCGACGAATTAATCCACAGAAATTTACCTTGTTTAAGCATAGTAGCAGCAAGTGATAATGCTAATTTACAGTTTTTGCATAATTCAGGATATATGCGAAACTTGTTTCTTACCTGAGCAAAGAGTGAATAAAAATGCGAAGAAGAGGAACCACATCTTGGTATCGGGGTTAGTAGATTATTTTGAGTTTGAAGTATTACGACGTCTCTGTGGAATAATGAACGCGAACAAATTTGTTTTCTGCATATATAATAACCAGCGGAAGTTGATTTTATTTGAATATTCTAATTTAAGTGGAAGGGGGCTGGTGACGGATATTCTTTCAAGTTTGCAATTAGTGTAGTTATCTTTTCTTGTTTAATTGGAAACCGCAGATATAATATCGTCTTTTGAACACTCGCTTTTGTATCGTTTTTAGAAAAGTAATTGGGGGAAATGGATACAAATGGGAGTTTCAACATCTAGCTGGCTTTATTATCTTTGCAAACACATTTGTTGACGTCAGCCCATGTTTAACCGGATGAGCTTGCAATTTATTTCGACACTCTTACCTATTCTGACATATTAGGTATAGACGTGTAACCGTGAAAATGTTGATCAATTTAAGTAACACATTCATATCAAGTACAAAAACACCCTCATCTTATAAACCAAATTGAAATTTTTAGGAAATATTGCTTCAGTTCTTACCTTATATCTGGTAACATTTTGTATTTTGTAATATATCCGAAATTTGAAATCTTAAAAGATTTCTAGAGATCATTTCATTTTTGCTTCGAAACAGAAAACACAAAATGTTTATTGTGTCGTCACCGGGATTCGAATGGTGGGTATTCTAACGCTTAGTGTGTAACGGTAACCTTTAGCAGCGTGAGGGCACGCATAGAGAAATGAGATAATTGTTAACATTCTCGGATACTGAAATGACTTGGGTGAAGCACAAAACCCAGTCGATTATATTCAGATTGAGATTAGTGGCGGACCTGCACCTGTCGTAGACCGGGCCCGAAATCTCTCTAGGGCACCTCTGTTTACAATTATCACTATGCCAAATCTCAGCACAACTATATAACTAAATTCCGAAAAACATAAGAACGCTCTACAATGTGTCATACTATTAAACTGTTGTATAAAGTATACTAAAGTACACTGGACTTATCCTACAAATTTCGATACCGTCTTATAAAATTCTGTTAAATTCGATAACTTTTTGTGACGCTCTTTAAGAGGCATCGATTCAAGCCCTGGAGTAACTTTTGTAGACATCGATTTTAGCCCTGTAATACTAAGGTTCGCTTGTGGATTGTTATCCTTAGCATTCTCATAGTCGGTGTCGCCAAAATGGGCAGGTCTTCTTTAAATCTGGGGAAAATTATTAAAATTGTACAGTTTGTGACATAATTTTGACATGAGCTTACCCACCCATTTGCTACCAATTGAGTCGTATTTACTTTCTAAGCAAGCACATGAGGGTGGGAGGGCATGAATAAAATGGTGGCAAATAGATGATGTCTTATAAAATTATAGCGTCAGCGAATGATCCTCCGAGAATACAGTGTCCTTGCTTTATATTCCTATATATTGTAGCGAAAATTGCTCCTTTCGACCGAGCTCCTCATAGCATAGTGGAGAAGACGCAGGACTCGAAACTCGAAGGTCCCGGGTTCAAAACCCATCAACGGCAAGATGCCTGATAATTTGTCTTTATGTGAATTTCCTTCTTATTAATGTTATCTTATTTATGTAGATTTCCTTCTTATTCTTCCAGAACATTTCGAGTCTAGAATATTTTAGCATGTTCATCAGCTGTCTATAAGTAAGACACAATAACACGCCGAATAAATACTGATTCAGAAGTCAAACAACAAAAATCAGCGTTAATTCACAAAATTTTCACAGGACTAGTTTCGATGGTTTTACCGAACCATCATCTTCAGCTGCAAAACCGCAAATGAACAAGATAGGAAATAATGTTTAGATAAGATAAGAAAGTCTGGACAAGAATAAGCAAGTGGCGCCATCTGTTGGCGAAACCAGAACTAAAACATAATTTCTCTAAAAGCCGAAGGCAAATTTGGATTGGAATTAGGATCGTTAACTAGAACAGAAAGATTTTTATGAATGTGAAATGCCTCTAGAAAATCCAGTTCTCCAATGGAAGATGTTTTTTGAATAATTTTGGCAGCAGAAAAATTGAAAGTGTGATTTTCGGACCAACAATGTTGAGCAAAAGAAGACTTCTGTGTTTCCTTTTTTCTAACATATGCCTCATGTTCTTTGACGCGAAATTTTAAGGCTCTCTTAGTTTGGCCAATGTAAATTAAACCGCACTGGCAAGGAATCCTATAAATACCCCAGGAATTCATATCCGGAATGGGGTCCTTGAGTATAGAAGTTGGAATTTTATTGATGGGAGAGTAAACAACCCGAAAGTTAAATTTCTGCAAAATATGTGCAACTTTATAGCTAATTGATGGAAAGAAGGGAATGACAACAGAATTTTTATAATCTCCTAAAATAAGAGTGTGGCTTTTAGTGTGTTGAGATGAGAATTTTTTAACTGCTTGATTAATAATGTTGGGTGAAAAGCCCCTGTCAATAGCTATTGCTTTTAAATAATTTAGTTCTTCATCAAGGGCTAGTTTGGAGGAGCTAACTTGAAGAGCACGGAAAACATAGGAATAAAATGAAGCTAACTTTTGTTTAGTCGGATGACATGATTTAAAGTGTGGTGGAAGGCAAACCGATGAAGGTTTACGGTAAACTGTAGTACTGAAGTTGGATGTGTTACGTGTGACCAGAATGTCGAGAAACGGAAGAGAATTGCAAGTCTCAAGTTCAAAAGTGAACTGAATAGCAGGATCAATAGAATTCATTGTTGAAAGAACTCTATTTAAAATCATCTTTATTACCTTCAAACAGGGTAAAAGTATCGTCTACGTAGCGGAACCATGCCGGGAAGTTTAAAGTTTCAAACAATTTTGATTCCATAATAATGCATGTAGATATCAGCCAGGATGGGAACTGAGGGGCTTCCCATGGCTAATCCCTCAGTTTGCTTGTAATATTTATTTTGGAAAACAAAATGTGTTTGTTTCAAACAGAGTTGAGTGAGAGAAATTAGCTCATCAATTTCGATGCAAGAGAAATGAAATTCGCGAAGTCTGGTTTCTAGACATCTTAATGCACCCTCCACTGGGACATTGGTGGATAATGATTTTACAGCAAAAGAAACCATGAGTAAATTACGAGGAGAAATGTTTTTAACCTTTTTTACAAACTCTATTGAATTTTTTATGGTGTAAATGTTATTGTCTAATAGAGTGGAAAATCTAGAAACTAAATACTTAGCTAATGGATACGAGGCAGTACCTAAATTTGATACAATAGGGCGGAAAGGAATACCACTTTTATGAATTTTGGGAAGAGCATATAATCTGGCACAATTCGCAACAGATGGGATAAGCGAATGTTTTAAGTTGCTTGAAATGATTTGCGAAGATTTGATCGCAGTTTTTTATTTTGGACAAGTCCGAAGGTGAAGGATCTTTAGGGATCGGATTATATGGTCCTTCGTTTAAGAGTTAGTGACACCATCGATGTAAGTGTTCTTATCCCATGACGACTATCTGGCCACCTTTGTCGGCCTTTGAAATGACAATATCCGGGTTAGAATGAATCTCGCGCATTGTAGCTCTTTCTCTCGCAGTTAGATTTGGTTTCAAAGGTTTATTATTGAATTTCACATTATGAGCGATAAGATGCCTAATCATTTCTTTCTGTGAATCTCAAACTTTACTGAACTTGAAAGCGTTTTTCGATAGGAGCCAAAATCTTTGGAATCGAGGGTTTACTGGTTTTTGAGAAGTTAAAATTAATATTTTAGAATCTTCTCTCTTGTTCTTCTGAAAGACTAACATTAGAAATATTAACTATTGGCTTGATGTTTACAATGGGAAGATTTTTTGAACTACTGAACTGGAAGACTGTAAAAGAAGTTTTTTTCGAATTTAACTGCAAGGGTGGTTTTTATGACGGTTAACTGCATTCTCCGTTCTAGACCAAGACTTTTGTTCAAGGGCAGTGAATTTTGGATATGTTTTAGCGAGTTTCAGATGAAGCTTATAGAGTTCATGTTCAATTTTGGACAATTGTTGACGTGTATCCCTTATCACGGACCGAAGTATGGCAAGTTTGCAATTTAACAGAATTCTTGAAATGCGACTCGAAGGTTTTTGATTAGATTTGATTTGAATAAAATTGAATAAAAATCACTCAACTCTGTTTGAAACAAACACATTTTGTTTTCCAAAATAAATATTACAAGCAAACTGAGGAATTAGCCATGGGAAGCCCCCTCAGTCCCATCCTGGCTGATATCTACATGCATTATTATGAATCAAAATTGTTTGAAACTTTAAACTTCCCGGCATGGTTCCGCTACGTAGACGATACTTTTACCCTGTTTGAAGGTAAATAAGATGATTTAAATAGAGTTCTTTCAACAATGAATTCTATTGATCCTGCTATTCAGTTCACTTTTGAACTTGAGACTTGCAATTCTCTTCCGTTTCTCGACATTCTGGTCACACGTAACACATCCAACTTCAGTACTACAGTTTACCGTAAACCTTCATCGGTTTGCCTTCCACCACACTTTAAATCATGTCATCCGACTAAACAAAAGTTAGCTTCATTTTATTCCTATGTTTTCCGTGCTCTTCAAGTTTGCTCCTCCAAACTATCCCTTGATGAAGAACTAAATTATTTAAAAGCAATAGCTATTGACAGGGGCTTTTCACCCAACATTATTAATCAAGCAGTTAAAAAATTCTCATCTCAACACACTAAAAGCCACACTCTTATTTTAGGAGATTATAAAAATTCTGTTGTCATTCCCTTCTTTCCATCAATTAGCTATAAAGTTGCACATATTTTGCAGAAATTTAACTTTCGGGTTGTTTACTCTCCCATCAATAAAATTCCAACTTCTATACTCAAGGACCCCATTCCGGATATGAATTCCTGGGGTATTTATAGGATTCCTTGCCAGTGCGGTTTAATTTACATTGGCCAAACTAAGAGAGCCTTAAAATTTCGCGTCAAAGAACATGAGGCATATGTTAGAAAAAAGGAAACACAGAAGTCTTCTGTTTGCTCAACATTGTTGGTCCGAAAATCACACTTTCAATTTTTCTGCTGCCAAAATT